TGCCAGGTCAGAGAGCAGCGGTCTGTCTGTCCGACTATGGGAGTTTCCACCCTGGACCAGCTGTCAAACATTAAATGTTCACGTTACATTTCCCCTCCTTTACACGTACTAGATAATAGAATGACAGAGACAGACAGGCCCTGGCCGCTTTGACAAACTGGTGTAAGATGAATGGAACAAGCGTGGTGCCTGGTTAACGCCCTTGTTTACCAAACGAGAAGTTTGCGTTCAACCTCATTTATGACAAGATACATTTTCACATACCAGTGCGGTTTTGGAGTCGACCCTCTCTTATCAAACGTGTACTGGATTAATGGGGAATAGTAAATACAGATAGGTAGAAGATCTCAGAACCTATGTAATAATAATGCACATACTGAGGTAGATTCGTGAGAATGGAAAGCAAAGGATCGCATCGTATAAAAAAAAGGTTGGGGGGGGGGGGGGGTATACGGTAAAAGGAAAATGATTGCAAATATATTAGGATTTAAACGTCAGAAAATACACATGTCATGGCAACATTGATCCTGAAATCTTTCGCCATTATTGAAGAAGATTGTTCTTTAAACAAGTTGGCTTGCTAGTCACACTCACCCTCACCAGTGTTCTCATGCCTTCCTGTAACACAGTAGAACACTATCATCTGAAAAGACAAAGGGATTGTCAGAAAACAAGCACCATATGTCCACATTTATGTTTCATAAAGAATATTGTATCATCATCTTGTAGTGACGCTATACATGGCATAGCGCCCGCAGTCTTGTCCTTTAGTTTGTTCTATCTTATTCAATCCTTTCCATATCATGAAGGGAATCCGGTTCGACACTTTTGACATCTTTAGGCAACATTCCCCTAGAGTTTCTTCTGGACGTCCTCACTTCCAACCCATCTGTTTCCCATTTCAATGCCTGTTTTGTGTATCTCTGCTCGCTACTTGCCAGGATGAGCCAAGTACAACGCCACCACTAGTATCTTATAACTGTCAGTAACAATGATTGTACAGACATTCATCTTGTAGCTTCACCTTTCGTGAATTCATCCATTTAATATTGCCTAGTTTTGTTTTTGACCAACATTCCAAATAGACACTTTTTTTAATTGACGAAGACCTGTCTGAGTAAACTACGACCACACCGGTACGAATGTCTCGTTATAGCACTGATATAATAGATGTTCTACATTATCTGCGAGATGGACTCGATATATATATATATATATATATATATATATATATATATATATATATATATATATATATATATATATTAGATAACGTTCAGAGATGCTGCAACAACGATGCAATCTTTCTTTATTTTGAAGCCCCACCCTGGCTCTTGCCAGGGACCGCAATATAGCCTGACCATAAATATGGTCTAATGGTTGAGCGCGGTTTTCCGGACCTCTCCACGGGTGATCCTCATCCACATGGTGGCATTTTGTGTCATCGGGTGTTTATCACTTGTGTGATGTCCTGGTGGGGTAACATGTACTACTACTAGATGCTATAACATGACAACAACAAGATAAAGCAAATGCCCATTTAATTGCGGCCGCGGCATTTACACTTGTAGAAAATCTGGAGGGAATCAAACACGAGCAAAGATATACCAGCGAGAATGAACTACAACAGCTTCACAACAGTTAGAGCAGGGATGTGTAATGTAAACTTTTCAGCTTTTCGTAGATTCTGGGACTTTGTTTATAAGATGGGGTAACTAGTTAGTTTCTTCTCGATGTGTACTGCCTGTCGCAGAGCCGTGCTGCAGATTTTCGAAGTTGATGATATCGTGATATGTCATTCCTTCAGTGGGTCGGATGTAGCTGTTTAGATCCACAGACTTCTGGAAATTAATGCTGCAATGCCCTCATTGGTTCTCAATATGAATACATATCACTGGTAAAACCTTAGGATTTGAACTAATCTATTTGGGAAACTGGATGGAGTAATGCTGTTAGACAAACATCTGCGTGTGAGGTATAAACAATTAGGAAATAAACTAGACTACGCTCACAAACGTCTCATTAAGTTTTGGTCAATATATTCTTGATCCCCGGCAGTTATGAAAACATAGTGGTAAGTCTGAACATAACTGTGCCATGTTCTACAGTACTTTGCTAGATAAGACTCCGTGTTATCTGCTCAGCATTGCTGGCTTATCTGTGTAGCCTAATCGGTCATTGCTTCAGCTTGGTGGGTCACACGTATGTGCTGCTTGAAACTCTGTGTACCGTGAGCAGTTTACCTTAACTCTCCGAGTCCCAGGAGGTGTAGCGTCACAGGCCAAAGGGGTAGTCGAGAGAGATGTAAAATCGGCGCATCTTGTGTTCATTGGGCTTCTAGGTAGGAATCTATGAAGGTATAACGCGTTCCTTGAGACTGAAAGAGTTAAACGTTTACTTTACACTGCTATAAGGATCTGAAAAAGTTTACACAATAACACAATGAGGAAAACGGAATGCAGGCTAGAGCTGTGATAAAGTGGGTTCATACAATAACACGAAAAAGTGAAGATTTACATTTAATATCAAGAGTAACAAATAAGCATATGTGAACGGATAGGTATAGAATATGGTAATGAGCACCAGAGTGGCTAGATTTTGTAGCGATAGTTGCCGGTTTTCCTGGCCACCAGCTAGCAAACGGACGTTTAGATTCAGTGCCGAACTCACTTTAGAGCATGCTCAAACTTACTGATGTTACATTTCCGTTGGCGTGAACAAAGCAGGCCGAGATAGTGATCACGTTAAATGACAACACATGGTCTCAGCAATACTGTCCAAACTTTGCACCAAGGAGAAGCGGAGATTCATTTCTGGACTTAACTGGCATCGCCATGTGCTGTGGTTGCTATGGAAAGATGGAAGGGCGTTAACCAAACAGTGGCAGATAGTTAAACAAAAAATACAATTTTAAAAAGAAAAATAAATATCTGAACTTAATTGTACACTGACGGGTTACTAAAAAGGGTACTTTCCTGACTTTACTTGATGCACAAATCTACGCTGTTGTGCCCTGTACAGCAAGGGTTGAAGATGAAAGTGATTTCATGATTAGTAAACATAACAAGTCAAGGCAGGTTATCCAGACTTCATTGGAAGATGGGATGGTAAAGTAACTAGCTCCCTTGCCTAGCTGTCTGGTGGTCATGTGTTGCTTTCCAGATCGAGATGTATTGTCAAACCTGAACTGAGATCATAGTTGGACGTAACATAGCATTTCGTACCAATAAAAATAATGGGAAGTAAATGTGGTCCGCGTGGTAACGACCGAATCACCCGTCGAGTTTCAATTGTTCTAAAAAATGTGAAGCTAACAATTTATAACCAAAAAGTCTAAGTGTGTGAAGATCCCTTTACTTAATTAAGTATATTACCACATGTTTACAAGCTTATCAAGGAATCTTTACTCAACTCAACGTGTCTTTATTTCCCAGCATAGACACCCAATCCGCCCAAAAGGCATGTAAATGAACTTTTACTTTAGTTTTGCATTTTCATAAGGTCACATCAGCAGCTTAGTTACTAAGCCAACACCCACCGCACTCCCAGTTTATATGTAACTTCATTACAATACATTAAGAAAGTTGTACATCACTCTGTCGATTTCTGTTGTGGATGCAAAATATGAATAATACAACGAACAGTTTTCGGTCTACAGGATCATCAGTTTCGACTTTGAAAAATCTGATTCATTTGATTTCTAAAGAAATTTCATCCAGTTTCAAAATGATATAACCACATGGCTACTGTTTTTTTCATTCAACGCCACTCAGTGTTTATAATCTGCAGAACAGATAAGAGGCTGGTAAGAGCGTTTCAACCGCCCAGCAATGCTACAGCAAGCAGTCTCTCCCCACATACCGCAGACTTTATCCAAGCCATCCCAACGTCCCTTACCATCTTACCACCTTATTTTCTTGGCTTAGGCATAACTGTGCGGAATGGCTTTTTGCTCGCACGTGACCCCAGCTTGCTATCGTGTTTCCTAGCAGCCGGTAAACAATATTATTTAATGATCCATTTACATACCCATAGCGCGGCTATTCTCAACTGGACCTATTTGGTTTACGGAAACGTTGCTAAGGGTACGGTTTGAAATTTCGGCTGACAAAACTGTCACCCGTTTTCAAATCATTTTGAAGGCTGCGCTATTGAAACAGTATAGTAAAGAACCTATGTTGTTACCGAGTACGGTATGCATATCTTTATATAAGACCTCACATTTCTTGAGGTAAGCTGGTAAAGAGATTACTGCTCGGTACCGTAGTACTTTCTCCAGAGATGTTGTTGCAGGCCTCATATTCTCCACCCCAAGTGCAATAACCAGCGGTATGTTCAGGACAGGCACTTGAATTTCACAAGTTAGGAAAAGAGTAGCCGTCCCTGAAAGTTATTAACATTGAAAAAATTCATATTCAGCCTGCTTACGGGAAGTGTTCCCAGGTCTTGGACAGTGAAAGTTTCGATCATTTAGCCATCATTAATTTGTATGTGGAGCCTGGAGACAAGCTGAGGAATGTCCACGACACGTTGCTAATATTTAGTGTACTTGGTTGTGTATGAAATCTCAGCATTTACCTACAGATCTAGAATAAAAAAAGCCCAGCGTTTTCGCATGTAGTTGTTTATTTACGCAAGGGCATGTTTTTTCAAGGCTGTTTACCGTGTTGCTACGTCTGTTGTAGAAAATCCGCTGCATCGCCCATGTATGGTTGACTGAACTATACAAATATAGGCTAACACTACATGCTTACTAAATCAACCTTTACCTATACATTTAGAAAACTTAATGATGATGATAAAGATTATTGATAATGATGACCTATTTTATCTCACATATACTTTTCTGTTTCTCTGCAGGCTGTTCTGAAGTAGGTCTTGAACTTGTCCCTTGGCGGACGTCTCTGAAATTTTGAATAAGTTTCGCATTTCCTGGAGACTTTGCCTACGAGGGTGAGCAACTCATTTCAACTCAAGCTCCCCAAACAACAACTGCAAACATGTCGGGTTTAGACGTCAACGATCCGGACTTCCAGTATCTGGTGGTCGACAGGAAGAAGCTGATGAGGGAACAGACCCAGACCTTTGATGGCAAGAAGTCCTGCTGGGTTCCTGACGCCAAGGAAGGTTTCTTGGCTGCAGAGATTCAGAGCACCAAAGGCGAGGAGATCACTGTGAAGCTTCTCAAGAACAATGAGGTAAGAGTTGCACAGTATTCACGTACACGCCGGTTTAGCAATGTCAATGATGTAGGTATCTCAAGTCTTCAATGGCTTTTGAATTTTTTTTTTATGGCGGGCGAGGTGTGGTCGCGGCCCTTTTGGGAGCAAATGAGCAATGCGGAGGCATGAGTAGATTATTGTGATCTGAAGAGTGGTGGGGCTAGGAGTGGCCAGCGAATCTGGTCGACTCTCTGTCTACTCCGGGGAGTTCCCAGTGAATATGGTCGACTCTCTGTACTCCGGGAAGTGGTCAGTGAATCTGGTCAACTCTCTGTACTCCGGAAAGTGCCCAGCGAATCTGGTCGACTATCTGTACACCTGGAAGTGGCCAGCGAATCTGGTCGACTGTCTGTTCTCCGGAAAGTGGCCAGCGAATCTGGTCGACTCTCTATACTCTGAGAAGTGGCCAGCGAATCGGGTCGACTCTTTGTTCTTAGGAAAGTGCCAGCGAATCTGGTCGACTCTTTGTTTTCAGGAAAGTGGCCAGCGAATCTAGTCGATCTCTGTTCTCATGAAAGTGGCCAGCGAATCTGGTCGACTCTCTGTTCTCAGGAAAGTGCCAGCGAATCGGGTCGACTCTTTGTTGTTAGGAAAGTACCAGCGAATCTGGTCGACTCTCTGTTCTCAGGAAAGTGGCCAGCGAATCTAGTCGACTCTCTGTACTCCGGGAAGTGGCAAAACGGACATTCAATCAGGTTGCTATTGGCACCTTCGGAATGATAACTCTTCTCTGGCTGCTGAAGATGCGGACAGAGCACTTATGAAAATGTCCTGAGTAATGTATTGTCAGTTTTTGGCTCAACATTCAACAACGCTCAACATTGACTGATGACGCATCTATGGACAGTCTGAGTGCTATCACCTCGCTGTTGAATGGTCTTCAGAGACATGATACCGTTTGTTCTTCAATGGCAATAGCATGAATATCCAAAGTTCTAATAAAGCAGATTTTTTAAATTGACTCGGTCCCCATGTTCTGTTAGATCTAAGTTTAGGTACCGCAAATGTTTTTAGAAAACAACAAATATTGACAGCGTTGAATTTATCAAGGAAACCAGTCCATCGACAAACAGACTTCCAAGGATGTACTACTTTTTTTCTTGACTGCATACAATACTATTACATCAGATTGTTAATGTCTGACCGGACGCACAACTAAGGTCAACGCTGGAAGGAGCTGATCAGTCAAGAGCAACTGGTGACCCAACGACACGCAGTGTTACGTGGTGAAGTTGTTGAATGAACACGGATACTGCCATCTGTTCAACGAGTCCACTTTAAATGTAAGAGTAATAAGAATCGACAACAGGATAAATCGATTCAGATGTAAAATGCAAGTGGCATATAAACAGACAGAACGGGTGGAAAAAAGGGGATGGGTGGAGGATAAAGAAAATAACCTTATTATTAAAAGTACTAGATAAGTAGGAAATACAGACACGCGCGAAAAGCTTGAACAGGTTTGGTGGGGTCAACCTCACACTGGCAGCCTTTACTTCACATGATTTTACCACATTTAAGGCTGAGTCGACCTGGGAGCCAAGACCATTTGTGACAAAAGTCTAATTTCGTTCGGATTTCAACCCAAGATCTTCGGATCCGCAGATGAGTATCTAGTCGCTACACCAATGGTTCCCAATAGGTTGTATACAATTCTTCAAATCTTTCATTCCAACCCGTTTGATAGAAACACCATTGCTCATCCTATCTATTGTTGCTTTCACTTTCTCTGTTCTACTGCCTATTACTATCTTTAAAGCAATCATCTCCACAAGGATATCTTCCCTTCCACAGACGAAGACCTTCAAGAAGGATGACATCCAACAGATGAACCCTCCCAAATTCGAGAAGATCGAAGACATGGCCAACATGACCTACCTTAACGAGGCTTCAGTTTTGTACAACTTGAAGAGCCGTTACTCTGCTGGTCTCATCTATGTAAGTATAGAATTAAAAAACAAAACAAAAATACTACGTCAGTTGGTTTATAGACTTTCTCCCGGTCCAGTACCAAAGTCTTGTCTCTGCGGAGACTGGAGAGCTCTTCTTTCACCCGTGGGAACACGAGATCTTATTCATGTTTATGTCTGGTTCTCAAACTTGCTGTTTTTATTCTAGAACTCACTGCTTCCTGTTCTATTTGTCTGTTCGCAACCGCTCGATATTATTGCAGCCACTATTGAAATGTGAGCTGAGAAAAGCGCTTATTCTTCAAAACCGTGAAATCTTCTGCCTACTCTCTTTAACCCTATTAAATACAGTCACTAAATGTTAATTTGTAACATTTTATGTCACAGACTAATTGTGCTGTTTTCCCCATTGCATACATAGTTCTAACAATTTACGAGATCTGCAAATGTGAAAGTCTAGCGCCATTAGGGCCTTCTCCACATCACAGCAATCCTCTTCCAGAATCAACTTCTTGCACATTTAAAAGGGATATTATTATTATTATTTTTAATTTGCCTAAATAATTTGTTCCTAATCGGTTCGATCGTGTTGCTAATATTTTCTACTGGACGAGGCATTCAGCCTCACCGCAACCATGTCTACAGTCAGGGCAGTTCGGTCTAGATAAGACACACAAAATATCTATAAAAAATGTTGACAATAACCGCAAATTGTCTATTATAATAGCATTAAAAAAAATTGTGCTTAAAAAAAAAAAAAAACACGCGCTTATAGAGAGAAAAAAAAACACACATACACACGAGCGCGCGCGCGCACACACACACACACAAGAAAAACACCTGCTAGGATGAAAAGGGATGATTGCTAACGTATGCTTACGACATACATGTTGTATTTTGTAAAATACAGGTTGTATTTTTCCTTGTGTCTTCAACCTTGACGACACTCATGTTGTATTGCCAGGTTGTATTTAGTCCTTGTGTCTTCAACCTTGACGACACACATGTTGTATTGCCAGGTTGTATTTAGTCCTTGTGTCTTCACCCTTGACGACACACTGCAAACAAATTCAGTGAAAGTTTATATTTATAAAAGTCTTTTTTTCAACATAAGCAAAGGCAGAGGAGAATACTTCGGGACTATAGATAAAAAAAATTATATATATTGTGAATTTCACAGTGAATTTCACACGTGAACAGAAACCAGATCTATCTGACGAACAGCGACACACCCAACAACAAAATGAAAACAGAGCATGTGTATGAAGTCCCATTTGTTTTCAGCCTTATATGCTGATATATGTCAATACCTTGACGAAAAAATTCATGATGACCAAAGACTGACGAGTTGATAAAATCAGTAGGCGTGATTATCTGAGAACAAAAAACAAACGTAAAGAGAAAGAAGAAGAAGAAGAAGAAGAAGAAGAAGAAGAAGAAGAAGAAGAAGAAGAAGAAGAAGAAGAAGAAGAAGAAGAAGAAGAAGAAGAAGAAGAAGAAGAAGAAGAAGAAGAAGAAAAAGAAGAAAAAGAAGAATATGAAGAAGAAAAAGAAAAGAAAGAAAGAAAGAAAGAAGAAGAAGAAGAAGAAGAAGAAGAAGAAGAAGAAGAAGAAGAAGAAGAAGAAGAAGAAGAAGAAGAAGAAGAATATGAAGAAGAAGAAGAAGAAAAAGAAGAAGAAGAAGAAGAAGAAGAAGAAGAAGAAGAAGAAGAAGAAGAAGAAGAAGAAGAAGAAGAAGAAGAGAAGAAAAAGAAGAAGAAAAAGAAGAAAGAAAGAAAGAAGAGAAGAAAAGAAGAGAAGAAGAAGAAGAAGAAGAAGAAGAAGAAGAAGAAGAAGAAGAAGAAGAGAAGAAGAAAGAGAGGAAGAAGAAGAAGAAGAAGAAGAAGAAGAAGAAGAAGAAGAAGAAGAAGAAGAAGAAGAAGAAGAAGAAGCAGAGAAGAAGAAGAAGAAGAAGAAGAAGAAGAAGAAGAAAGAAGAAAAGAAAGAAGAAGAAGAAGAAGAAGAAGAAGAAGAAGAAGAAGAAGAAGAAGAAGAAGAAGAAGAAGAAGAAGAAGAAGAAGAAGAAGAAGAAGAAAGAGGAAGATGAAGAAGAAAAGAAGAAGAAGAAGAAGAAGAAGAAGAAGAAGAAGAAGAAGAAGAAGAAGAAGAAGAAGAAGAAGAAGAAGAAGAAGAAAGAAAGTATAATAATAATAATAATAATAATAAGAAGAAGAATAAGAAGAAGAAGAAGAGAAGAAGAAGAAGACGAATACCAGAGATATCAGTGTTACATAATTTGCATATATAACGAAATAGGACACGACGGAATGCTAAATTCACTAAACAATTGTTACATTCACCTGACTGATTGTTTTGGGTGTGAACGTTTTTGTGATAGACCTACTCTGGACTGTTCTGTGTGGCCATCAACCCCTACCGTCGTCTGCCCATCTACACCCTGAAGGTTATCAACGCCTACAAAGGCAAAAGGAAGGCTGAGATGCCTCCCCATCTTTTCTCCATTTCCGACAACGCCTATCAGAACATGTTGCAAGGTACGTGCACAACAGTGTAGTGTTTGCTCACTGTCTTGTTTCGTCTCCCTTAGTAAAGTACAGTAGTTGTGATTTTTAATAAACTTCCCCGCCTCCCCCACCCTTTCCTTTTCCACCTTCTCTCCCTTTTAGGATATAAAATATGCTGTTAAAGCTTCTGGATTAAAAAGAGTGAAGCAACATACCTATCAGAGGATGAATTTGAAATGTGAACCAGCTGTTGCTGCTTCAAATCAAGAGTCAGCTTGTGTTAAAGATATTCGTGTTTTGGTTTAGTCAGAAAGATTTGACAACATGGTTAACTGGAAGGGGACAATTTTGTTTTTAAAACGAGTATCGCAAACTATCATTAGAAAGATTATGTTAAAGGAACTACTATGAGCAGTTCCAAACAAAAGTAACGATTTCTTTGAATTCTGGTAAGAAAGAAGCCACGACAACAGACTCCAATAGATGTAAGCCCTTTTAGTGCCCAAACGATTTGCTTGCCAGTGTATGGAATTGAAAGTTCAATGAGTTTAGAATCAACAAGCCAAACGACAAAGCAACCGTCCAGTCACCCAGTCAAGCATATAACATACACAAAAGCATATAACATACACAAAAGCATATGTTGTGGGTGTTGCAATGAGAAAAATCAGAATCTTGGTAACATCTTGAACACGAGAGTTGCCCGACGCATCAGGCAAACCATTTCGAAAACTAGCGTGGGTGGACGCCATTTGCACACTTGCCAAGAAAACGTTCATTTACTATAAACGAACTTTGTGTGGGTGATACTTCTAAATAGTTTTAGAATGTCAGTCGGAGTTGAGTGTGCACACACAAATATTTGCTGTTTTTTCAAATTCCACTTACAATTTCATCGAAGGCGTGATTTGACATTCTCATTTCCAGATAGGAGTTACCTACTTTGTTTTACCTGGCGCGTGTGTCTGGCGTGTATGTAGAATGTAAGTGCGCGGAAGAAAGAAGAGAAAGCTGGTACGTGCCGAGAGCCAGCAGCGCATGGGTTAGGAATGTTGCCTGCTCAATGTTGTTGCTGGAAAATCTACCTGCAGGGTGGCGAGCACAGCAGCTGTGATACAGCAGAGCCTTGTACGCCTTGCTAAACTGAGTTTATCTGTGCCTGATATAGACTGGGCTTGCCCCACGATGGATTCTAAATGTGTAGTAGAGACAAGAAACAATGACGTCAGACCGCAGGACAGCAGAAATGGTTGCTACTGTAACTACCACACACAAGGAGGGAAGCAAGATAACTCAAGTGTTTGACTATATTCAGGGCTTTACGAAAGAAAAAGAGATGTCAGTACTCATCATCAAGTGTCTTAAAAAAGGTCCCGGTACTACGTACGACTGCGTACCCGCAGAAAAAATAGCCCTGATTATATTAGGTATCGCACGTAAGACAGTACCAACTACATTACCTACTATACATCAACAAACAGGGTAGAACCATTGTTTAACAAACAATAACAGCTAGACGTCACTGATCGGGTCATACATCTCTCGCTGGTTATACAATGGCAACTGACTGTCATGTTCCAAATATTGCAAGGGGGAAAAAAAGGGGCGCTGGAAAATGGCAGTTTACAGTGGAAGTTAGGAGACTGGTCAGACTAAACATGTAAATATATGATTAAAATGTTTGGTTACCTCCATTATCAATTCGATACTTTAGGATAGTTATCCCCAATCAGATTATTGATTTATGTACTTAGATCACCATTTCGATTGTAAGAACTTCCAGTCAAATAAAAAATAAAGCATCAAAGAATAAGAACAGGACACAATCGACTTGGCAGCCACATGTACACACAATTTGAAATCGGTGAATCAGTCGTGTACATTTGTGGATTGGCACCTGAGACAACAGATCACGTCCTCCAAGACTGTCCCAAGTACAGCATATGAAAGCCAAACTTTACTGGCCGCTGAGTAAATTACAAAAGACAGTGAAGTTCATACTAGAGACAACATTGCAGACGCAGATAATCTATTTCAAGCGAACGAAATAAGAAGAAAGAGAAATAATTGGGTTATGTACTCCCAGCTAAATATTTATCATGAATGTAAAAACCACAAATCACTGACTAATTACAAACCAAACTAATTTAAAAAATCGCTTTTGATAGGATGTTATTTATTTTCAAATATCAAGACCCTTCTTTCTGTTCCTGCAGTGGGGGTCCAAATATGAAATACAAGAAGATTCCACGACTGACTATAGTTTGCCCTTGACATGAATCCCAAACGATGCTCTTACTATACACTTAGTCAGGAGGCCATCTGGAATCGTGTCATGACCTCTTGGCTTGAACTATCTTTAATGTTTATGGTGGACCCTTGATACGTAAAGGTATACAGCCCTTCTAGGGTTTACTATTAACTTGGCTATCGACCTTTTCATGCTTCTTGTAGCTATTGACCAGTATTTTGCACATCCCTTAACCCGACCCTCAAGCTAATTTATATTCCATACGTTCTTGAAATGATCTTCCGCCTTATGGAGACGTTTAGAAAGTCTCATTCTGTTTCATTCATAAGATCAACGTCAGCAGTAAATTTGGGATTGCTCACAAACTACTACTAATCTATTAAATGCGTTACAGCTTTTGTGAGTTACATGTTTTAGAAAGTGTATAATATAAAATGAAAATTGTGTTGCTTTAAAAAAAGTGTATGGTTCGTTATAATTATTCCCAAGGCAAAATCTCAAAGTATTAACAGTTTTAAAAGCCCGGCCTTTTATCGTGCTTGATTTATCTCCACAGATCGCGAGAACCAGTCCATGTTGATCACGTAAGTTCAAAAAGCTGATTTTTATAAGCAATATTTTTAAAAAAGGTGAGCAAGAAAGCTGAGCGCTGTAGTGTAAAAGCCTGATGAATAACCTGTAAATCAAAGGCCATCATGTTGGACATTCATAATTCCCTTTATCTGGTACTCGTTCTTTAAGGAGCGAGTTAGTCCAGAGACTCAGTGGTTTGTTAATTTAGTCTGGGAACACAATTAAACAGCCTTTTGGCTAAAAATGCAATTAAAAGTCGTGAGAGTTTATTAAAAAAAAAAAAAAACAGGGAGTTGCAGCGAAATTGTTTAGGTTAAAAACAGCATATAGTATAGAAATAACAACTGCTGCTGAATGTAGGCACTGAGGTTACTGAAGAGAGTAGGCTTCATTTTTTTTGCTGTAATTGAGTAATACCAAACATCAGTATCCACCGTATGTGTGTGTGTGTGCAGTACACACAATCCACTGTTAATATTGGCATGTTGGTTTGTCAGATCCAAATCTAGTTATAATTTCCGCACGGAGAACCCCATAAATATACCATGGTTCAGTCAGACTGGGTCGAACCCAAAAATACTAACTGTCACAGCAGGGCATTAAACCCAGACTGGGTTTGTATAGTAAGCTGTTTAACTGATCCTACTGATTGTTTGACTGAAACTCAATGTATGCACTGATTGTTCGACTGAAACTCAATGTATAAACTGATTGTTCGACTGAAACTAAATGTATGAAATGATTGTTCGACTAAAAAAAAAAGTAAGTGCAACGTATAAAGATGAACGTTGATCCTTTCTAGTTACTTCAGGGATTTCCCAGGAGCAATGTGGGATGAAGAAAACATACTATAGACAATAGTGAACTTAATCATTATTGTATTGTACACGCATTACGCAGTTCCAGACGTAAACCAATCATTTTCAAAAAACAGCGGCGAAAGTGGAGCTGGCAAAACTGAAAGTACCAAAAAAGTAATCCAATACTTTGCACATGTGGCCGCTGATCTGAAAAGATACAGAGAAAAGCATATGGAGAAACAGGGCGTTACCACTACAGGTCTTCTTGTAAGTCATCGCATCATCTCTGGATGCTGGCTGTATGTCATCATGGTACTGCTTGAAAAGGAGTGTCTCTCGACGCTCTAATGAACCAATCAATTTGCTCAGATAACATTGCCTTTACATGTTGATTGCCACAGATTGCTTGTGTAATCATCTTCCGTTAGGGTTGCCAGATACTCACTCAGTTTTCCTGTTTTCTCCGGATACCGTGTGTGTGTGTGTGTGTGTGTGTGTGTGTGTGTGTGTGTGTGTGTGTGTGTGTATATATATATATATATAATATATATATATGTGTGTGTGTGTGTGGGGGGGGGGGGTTGAATAAACTGGGTTCCTACTCAGTAAGTTTTGATTATGTATATTTTGTAGCCTATTCAAAGTGAAAAAAAAAATGTTAAAAACAAACAGCAAATCATCACACGGTTTTTTAATTTTTCAAAAATCTGGCAACCCTACCTTCTGTGGCCTGAATCTGTGTACCTGTGAGACGTATATACGAATGCCATTTGATCTTCATATATATATATATATATAATGTCAAGTTGAAGTTATTTAGTTTTTCAATTTTAAGAGAGTGTGCATATTTTTAATGACCGTGATGTTTATTGAATGTGTTCACACGGTTGCTTCATTTTTATGCTTGTCGTGATATCTAGGATTTGAAAACCCGAGAGAAGCAGCTATAATTTTATTAAATAACTTTTATAATTAAAGGTGTAATAATAATTTTGACAATGGTACAATTCTGACAAAAGGAACGTTCCATACACACATACATATATATATACACACATATTTTCTCCCTCCCCCTCTCTCTCTCACACACACACATACATACACATCCAAGCAAAACACTGACACCGCGCACAGTTTGATTATAATCACATCCCACTGCCTTTTACAAGCTTCAGCACAGAGGTATTTTGATACCTCTAGACTGGACTTGTATTTGACAGATGTCTGAGCAAAACGATCCTCTTCGTTACATCAGGTTCCATTCCAAGTGTTTCGGTCTTCCTCAACGGAGAAGCTTTATGTCTTTTTTAGAAAGCACGACATTCTATAACCGCATCGGCTACCTCGATGGATCTTCTTAACACCATAACCTAAGGCAATTTAATGACAATCAGTACAGTCACTTGTTATATCAGTCGCAACTTTAACTAGCTGTTTGGGGCCAGGCCACTGAACCTGTGGGCATACACGTCTTGAGCCACCCCCTCCCATGGCTAAAAGAAATATTGGGCAATGCTGTTAAGCCCCGTCTATGTTTTTTTTTTGAGTCGGCATCCTTGCTCTGTGGTGGGAGGGAAACTAGTCAACGAATGACTGACCATGTTGCCTGATTTGAACATGATTATGATTCTGGTCATGAAACACTTCAAAAGCTATTACAGTAGCAAAGTTATTCAGAATTAATTTTGCAACCAATACAACAGTTCGTCTCGGTCTAATACACAATAAAAGCAGACAATTTTCAGTTTCATGCGAGTTGCTTGGGAGAAAAATGTGACACCCACCATACTTCATTTATTAATTCCTATACTGATTTTATGGAAAATCCCAATAATTCTACCACTTTCAGGATGTAACTTTGTTTAAAGTTGTGCTCTACTGGGATATACGAAAGTCTGACACCTCACACCCGACTCCCTCCACGACAGTATTCGTTATGGAATCGCCTTAACATTTATGTTTAGTCTGCTTAAGTTTGAAGAATCCATTGTCTACTTCAGAGGTGAATCAGGAGCCGGAAAAACAGAAAACACGAAGAAAGTAATTATGTACTTTGCTCATGTCGCTGCTGGGCAAAAGAAAGGACAAGAAGAAGAACAACCCACGGAGCAGAAGAAGGTAGTCAGTCTTCTATATCAGAGTGGAGCTCGTCTTCCTTCCACAACACCTTATCCTAGCATGAAAGTCGCGTGACCTCCTCTGTTTTAGGATACCTAACAAGTAGTACAACTTCGTTAATCCTTTTATTTTTGGTTCACAATTTTGTTAAAGCTAATAAAATAGTTTTGTTACTTCCCCTTGAAATAAACCATCATTAATTGTCTACACCTGTTAACACATGTGTGGTTTAGCCCCTTCGGAGTAGAAGTTGATCCTAGATGCCTGTAAATGTTATTTCACAAACAGTATACGGTACATATTTAGAACGAGTACCAATATCAGTTTAAATGTCTGTATTTTTTGTTTGTTTGTTTGTTGTTTGGCAACTTGCATGAAAACATTTGTTTAGTTTTGATTGCTTTTGTATGCAGCTTATTTATTGTTTTGGCCAAACGGGATCACAGATGAAGAACCGAAGAGAAATACTAAATAGCCATAATATAGTCTACTTACGTCCTTTTTAGGACGTAATTTTTTGTTATTTGAAGCCCCACACTGGCTTTTGCCAGGGGCCGCAATATAGGCAGGCCATAAATATGGCCAATTGTCTGAACGCGGTTTCTGGGACCTCTCCACGGTGATCCTCATCAACATGGTGGCACTTTGTGTCATTGGGTGTTTATCGCTTGTGTGATGTCCTAGTGGGGTAGAAAGTCAGTCAGTCAGTCAAATAGCCATTAACAGTAAGCGTTATTATAAGATGAGGCCAGAAATGGTTTGGACATGTTTGAGGATTACCCCGTGACACTTTGGCAAGGATGGCTGTCAGATATACAGCAGATGGGAAAAGGCGACATAACTAAATCCGAAGAAGGACAGTATAAAGGGACATAGAGGAGTGTAACTGACATTGGAAACCAAAAGACCAGCAACAGACTGGCAGCAGTGGAAATCACTCGTGAATGGCTTATGTGTCCAGAAGGACATGGAAAGGATTCTGATATATGCCAAAACATTGTGTCTGGAAGAGCATGTGCCAGACCACCCGCTCCGTTATTATGTTTGTGAAAAGAACTAATACTAAGAACAAACAAATACACATTATGTTTGTGAGAAGAATTAATACTAAGAACAAACAAATACTCACCATGTTTGTGAAAAAAATGCTAATGTCACATACACCCCACCCACAGACAGGTTAGTTTTAAGCCATCAAGTCCTGTCCTGATACAACTGTGCTATATCACTATGTTGGCGTCTGTGGCTTGAATGTCGCCAATGTGCTTCGTAATACCAGGCTACCGGGTTCGATCCAAGCTCAGACGATTTAACAGCAGACCGTTAACTACTGAACATAAAAAAAGAATTGCCTTGAAAACCTTCAACAGCCAGAAAATTCTGGATATGGTTCTACAACGTCCTGTAAATAATACGCAACCAAGTTATTTTTTTATGACTATTCGGTTTAGCCGGGTTTCCAGGATGTGTACCAATTTGATTTTAATCTTTCAGATGTATTCATACATTCTGCAATGCTGGAATTGGGGAGGGAAGGGAGCTGGGGCGGGGAACACACATACACACACACACACACACACACACACACACACACACACACAAAGTACACTGACCAACACATTACACTTGTGATGAACTACTCTCACATGTCATGTTTATGAAATCAAAGCCTGAACCAATAACTACGAATTGTTGGTGAAGACAGAATTTATTATGAACATAACACTCACACACTGTGTGTGTAAAACATGTCTCCCGAATACAGACTCACACGTCATGTTTCTAAGAAACAGGTGTACATTTTCACATTTTTACTGGCACAGGACTGCAGGCTACATGCACCAAGCTGGTTAAGCCGTAACGGATGCTCCAGTTATAACTTCTTTGCAGTCTGAATTGGGTGTCTGGGATCTTCGCTGTGGGAATCCCATCCATGAAAAGATTTTCGGGCTCTCCTTTAAATAACGGTCGCTAGCTGGTCGGAGTTCACTCCCTTGGCTGCAGTGCAAATACGGAGTGGTAGAGAGGGAACGAAACAAATGATATAGTTACCTGTCATCCTAGGGTTAGGCTTAGGGCTTTGGTTAGGATTTGGGATAGTGTTTGGGGTAGGGTTAGGGTTAGGGTTAGGGGTAGGGTTAGGGTTTGGGGTAGGGTAGGGTAGGGTTAGGGGTAGGGTTAGGGTGACACATCACGGACACGACGGAAGCTTATCGCTCATTACGACATACAGATCCGCAGGTCTCACATCTACGGTCACTAAGTCATGCGTCGGAAGAACGCGGTCGCTAGTGTGAGTCGCAGCGCGTGGTCTACGAGAGTCTTGCATCGCAAGACCGCGGTCGCTACTGTCAGTCGCAGCGCGTGGTCTAGCTCTAGCAGGCATGTCGACGTCACTTTGTTTTTTGATTCGTGACTTGTCCGCTCCGTTTTTGCACTGCAGCCAAGGGAGTGAAACTCCGACTAAGCGGCCGTCGCCTTCCAGCTAGCGACCGCTATTTAAAGGAGAGCCGATTTTGGAAATCGCATGGTGGTCCACCCTTGACGTGGCAGCACCGAAGAGAGAAGTTGGAAGGAAGGAAGAATATAGCCAGCACATCCGGTTGTGAGAACACACATAGACACTGGCGCGCGCGCGCACACACACACATACACACACACACCCTATGAGAACATTTACTAACAAAACGAACTCGCAAGCATGTTTGTAACCTTCTTCTGCATGCCGGATCTACTGGCATCGTGCATGTAGGAATCACTAACCAGGTTTAGAATGCATCCATTATTTCCTTGTTAACTTTTTATTAGTCAGAAGAACTACTTTGTTGGTTATAAAACATTTTAGTTTTCAGGTTCTTAGGTAAGTACCTGGTGTTATTTGAAACATTTTCTTAGGATAAATTGTTGATGACACACTACTAGCTGCAAATGATTATTATAAAATGATTGTGTGAGCCACTGTGGTTCAGTAGCTAAACAGCTTGCCGGTAAGCATGAAGAAGAAGATTCTCATCCTTGATGTGTTAATCTGACAGAGAGCAATAGTGATGATAGACACTTTAACAAAGAAAAGCTTGGACACTGACTGATGATACAATAGCCACTAGAACTTCTCACCTACAGCGTTTTATTTATAAATATAAAAAGTTCAGAACTGGGCGCATAAACATGAGAGACAGTCTGTCTTTTTTTTTTCAGTACCAGCATATAACATTTTAACTCTTTCAGTATCATAAGTTTCCGGATCTCCGCAAAGTTAAGTTAATGTGATGTTCTCAGTCTTACTGATCAGAGACCGATATTATATTAACCCTTTGTATTTGTATTTGACTTGTTAGTTTGGCTACTTCTATCATATACTGGCTCTGTTTCACTCGGTTGTATTTTTTTGTTTTGTTTTTGTGTTGTTTTTGTTGCTTTTTAAGCGCAACTCCTTAGGATAAAAGAGTTAAAGTATCAAGCGTGTGAGAGTGAAAGAGTTTACTCCATATATCCAAGAAGTTCTAGTTTGAAGAATCCAGTATTTGATTCTATATAAGTTACCAACATTATAAGCAGAAGGATTTAAACTACAATTAAGATTCATGAATTACGCAACAATCAAATGCTATAAGTTAGAAGCCAGAACAGTATTGTCTCTGTGGACCAGCTAATACACTTACAATGAGGTGCCTGGTATTGAAAGAGTTCAGGTTTAGGTAAATCAATGTTTTCTCTTTTGGGCTCAGGTTTGCTGTGAACAAATTTCAATCCCTTCCAGTCAAAGCCCTATCTCGAATGCTCACGCCTTCTAGCCTAGACACAAATTGCTGGATACAAGAGGTTACAGTTCAAGACTAAGATTACCTAGTAAAGAATTCACAATCTGGCAGTCCATACTAAAACTCTACCTTCCCAACAAGCATGTCGTAAGAATCTTCTAACTAGGCGCTTCCTTCGAAGTCGGAGTGAATCTGCACGAGAAGCAAAAAACCAGCAGTCTGCATACTGACAATTCAAATCTTTAAAAGGGATGTGCACACGACACTCAGATTCTGGTACAAGACTAAAATTCGGAGATGGACGAACAACCAGAACTTTCCACACGAGTTCGCAGCCAGTGAACACGAAGAAGACGAAGCAGCTACTGAAACTGAAACATTTTAGACATAAATGTGGATATTGTACAATATATTTTATGTCACTATTAGATATTAGCCTTTAACATACTTTTCTGGTCAAATGTTTATATTATGTTGTACGTAATTTAGATAACCATCCATCATTTGTCATTTTATTAATAAATATTCTTCTTTTTTCTTCCTCTTTCTTTGTTACCTTGTGGCGTTATTACTTTCTTGACCCTTTATGGGGGTTTAATTCGCCATTCAAATAATGAAAATAAATTTCTTTTTTAAAATCGACAATTATTTACTACATTACAATAATACAATGTTAAAATAAATAACTCAAATAATAAAATTAATACGCGAAATTGTATCTTTCCCACTCATTAACTTTACATGGGAATACCTAAATCCACAACTCTGTAAAATATTAATTATGGGGGTTAATGGTCGTCCATTATCAACCTAAATGTAAACCCCTAATATTGCTACAACCCAATCATTGTCACTGTGTCCATTCTACTCTCCTCCTCTCTTGGGGCCTCTCCCACCCACCTCTGTATTCTTCTCACGTCTTTTCCCGCCACACCATGGCTCCACACACAACAGAAAGGAGCTACTCTGGAGGATCAAATTGTCCAAGCTAATCCGGTTCTGGAGGCTTATGGCAATGCAAAGACTACCCGTAACAACAACTCGTCCAGATTTGTAAGTAAATCCCCAGAGCAGATACCCTAGCTACCACCCATTTTTCCCGTTTGCCAGATTTTCTTGCTAAATCAACCAAATTGGTTTCCCCTACCCCTCTTGGGTTGTAGTCAGTAGTTCCATACACTATACTTTTATGTTCTTTCACCGATTACCCAAACGTAGTTCCCATTTTACAAAGCTACCCCAAACCTTTATTTTATGTTACCTAAATGTCTTACCTGCCTTACTTAGTAGACAAACCCTACCCCTTTATTACCAATTGTTTTGCTCGTTTGACCACAAGACTTACCGAATGAATGTTTTTGTGTGAATTTGTAAAAACCATAGCCACTCCACACCCATAGCTACAGCCATGCCACACCAGCCCTAAATAATTTATAATTTCACGAAGTTTTTCAAAATTACTGTTAAAAAGTGACCCCATCGATTCCCTTAAAACATAAACCTTCCCCCTAACTAACACACACACACACACACACACACACACACACACACACACACACACACACACACACACACACATATATATATATATATATATATATATATATATATATATATATATATATACACATATATATATTCTAGAAAACAAATATACGTATTTGTTAATCTACATTAAAAAAAATTTTTTATTAGTACATATCTCTACTTTAAATTTACTTACAATCCAAAACACTAACATTAGCATGTAAAAATACTTTTCACATATCTAATTTTGTAAACACTTATCTTTACCAGTATACATATAATTTTTCTTTCACCTACATTCTATTTATATCAGTATTCAATAATTTTCCTTCACATATAATTACACTTTTCTTTTACATACACGTTTAAAAGCAAACAGTATTGCCTAATATGTACTAGACGTTTCCCTATTTACCGCTAGTAGAAAACACTTCTATGACTACACTTTTCCCTGATCTAAATTCTAAACCCACACACTGTTATATAAAAATATTCACATTTATCTTCACCTGTATTCAAAACACACTCACCCATTTAAACACATATTGTTTTTTCCCTGATATAAGTTACACAAGTTACATCCTTACTAGCTGCAGTTCTCCCCTCATTAAAAACCCAGCCCTATATTTAGAGACTGGCACGTGTGGCTTTCCCATCGCCAGACCATCCATCTTTGATATACTGTTCTGTTCTACTTACTAACCCATTGTGCCTGTAGACAACTAACAATTATAGTCACCAGACTACTCGTTTTACGAGTTATGCTTTCGGTGAGTTAAAAAAAAAAGTAAACATGCTGATTTTCATGATTTTATCCCCTACCCTCTTGTCTCTGGTTGTTTTCCCTACCCACCCTGCCTGCATCCGTGTGATAGGTTGGCTCACTCGAGGATCAGATTGTCCAGGCCAACCCGGTCATGGAAGCGTATGGTAACGCTAAAACAACCCGTAATAACAACTCATCAAGATTCGTGAGTACACCCGTACATAACACTGCTCCCAGAGCGGAAATATGGGAATCTCTGTGTGCGCTTCCCTTTCTTTTCCAGTAGTACTTAGACTAACTGTAATTCCTCACCCACCCAGAAAACACCCCTTAATCCGCCTCTACCCCTCGCTTGCCAACCCGTATAGAATACCCACAACCCAAAACGCTACTCTGAGTGATTTAGTTTTGCTTTGCCATAATCGCCTCATCAACACCAGAAGTGTTTGAAACCTTAGTTGAATTCTAATCATAGCATTCCACTTATTTTCTTTCCCCTAGTACTACTAATATATTCTTTATTAATCAAATCGCCCTCAACCATTCTACGTCTTGCTCACATGTTGTTACTTTTATGCGTGCGTGTTTGGTTGTGCCAGTTTTTCTTTAGTGTTCAGTGTCTGGCACACACAAAGTATCGCTGCAGCTTTGCAACTCAGCTTAATTTTTCACTGCCTCAGCATATGTTCACCGTGCTTCTGTCTTCCCTCTTTCTCTTTTTCCTACTTCTCTCTTCCCTATTTCTTTCTTACCTCTTTCTCTCTCAATCCTTTCTCGCTTTCTCTTCATCTCTCTCTGTCTTCTCTTTGAATTTACGTAGTCTTCGCCTTACCTGCCAAAGGTCATGGATTCGTTTGCGATCTGCGTCCTTCTGACCAAATCAATTTTCCGGCAGATCGTTGCTGAGCTCGTGCTTTGTGCGATGCCCCAATGCCCTCAGCAGGCGGCCAGTCAGTTTACGGACTTGGGTAAAATATGGCCGAAATGAAGCTTACCCTCTAGCCTTCATCAGTTTCTATGAATGTGAATTCCAATTTTACCAACTATGCACTCATTCATGGTTGAAGGTTCTTGAACCCACACTGGACTTCATTGACTGTTAGTGACTCATATTTGTAAACACTTGTGCCACAATTCCATGTTCTCGTGTACTCACTAATATTTTACAATAACCCCCCGTTGCCTGTAAATTTGCTTATCCTTTCCTCAAGATACCTTTTTTTTTTTTTTTAGCTTAGATACTGATAATGCGAGCGGTGTTGCCGTTTATCTTTCTTATAACCGAGTCAGTCAAATGCTCTTGATAATTTTGAGTTTTACCTCTTTTAACTATAAAACTACATAGGTCATCATATTTCTACATACATTATTTTTAAATATTTTCTCTTTCCAAAATTTCTAATGCAATTGATCAACGCAAGTAAAATAATTGGTTTGAAAATTGTTTAATTATCTGGCAACACCGCACGCATTGCAAGTTTCCTGCTAGTTCACACAAACTTGACCAGAGCAAAAACCTCTGTAATGTGTGTTAGTTCTTGTGTAGTTCCCGTTGACCGTTATTTTATGTTTCTGTTTATCTTTTCCCTCCTATTTATTAGCACTTTATCCACGCCCAGTTCCTTAGACAGCTTCACCCTGTTTGAATTTTAACAAATATGTAGAAGTGAGGAAGCCAAACACGCTGTCGTCTGGGACTCCATTATGAAAACCAGTAATAATTTCAGAAACTAGTTCAATGAAGTTCACATGTACAAAGTGGCACACTGGTGTAGAGGAAGGAAGTAGAAATAACAGAATATTGAACATGATTTTAAACAATAAATAAACGAAATATTGGCCACACAAACTGAGTGACATCCACCAAGCGTTATACACCCTGTGGCACAAAGTGCCACCATGCGGATAGGGTTCACCAGAGGTCACGGAAACCCTGTTTAACCATTATGTTATATTAAGGCTACCGACTACAGCCAGTGTGGGACTTCAAAGAAAAATCGCGTCCCGAATCGGGACGATCAAGGTGACTTACCAATCTGCTGTCATAACGAAAGGAATTTACCAGAGTGAAAACCAGAAAATATAAATTTATATAACTAATTATTTGTTATACTATTCTTTTGGACGATAATACGATAAGAATAAGAACATTGTAATCTGAAAAATCGAGATTTGCCAGGCATGTTTGTGGCAATAATTATAACATACTGAATAGTAATATGATAACACCAGTCACCTCCCTTGTTTTAATTTCCTCCTGTGCATGCTATTGAACCTTTATTTGTTAACTTACTTTCAAAAGGCTCAGACCTTTCTGAACTGTCGCATCTAAAGAACAGCGTGTTTGGTTTCCCACCCAGAAATATCACAATCACCTTGCTTGTTTTATTTGTTTCAATTACTAATGTAGTTTATTTCCTCCTCAACCCCTTTCCAATATGTCTACTCTTGACTCCCTCTGTGAACCCCAACCTCACAAACCTCCTAAACATATACTTACCAACCTTCAACGCTTGCCTCGGATGTGACCCTCCTGTGTGACCCTCCCTTGACCCGTGTGCTGTGGTTGTCGTCTGCAGAAAGGCAACCTGGAGGATCAGATCATCCAGGCTAACCCTGTATTGGAAGCCTTTGGTAACGCCAAGACAATTCGTAATAACAACTCTTCCAGATTCGTAAGTATAAAGTCTCTTGTCATCGTGAAGGTCCAGAGATTCCCGAGCTGACAGTCTCTTGTCATCATGAAGGTCCGGAGATTCCCGAGCTAACAGTCGTAAAGGTCCGGAGATTCCCGAGCTAACTGTCTCTTGTCACGGTGAAGACCCAGAGATTCACGAGCTGACAGATACCTCGAACACAAGCAGATTATCTTATCTGTTACGGATTAATTGCCTACAATAGTGATTATTTTGCACGTAGGAGCTGGATAAGATAAAAGGGATGATCACAACTTGGTAGAAGCTGAGACGCGAAGATTAATGAGTTCAAACATCAGAAAGACGCAGGTAACTTTTTATGGACAAAATTATTTTATGATGAGGACAATGATGAGATAACAGGACAGATGAATGGAAAGAATGAAGTAGAGGGAAACAACAAGAAATTATTCTGGACAGCTTTCTATTCGTGTGCCTGGCATAGACAAATGTTGGGGCACTAATTGATAACACTGATGGGGATCAGGAGAAATGTAACGCCATACGGCACGGCGCTTGGTGATGATGATAAGGTTAATGTGAGATGTGGAGAAGGGCAGCGGTATATGTAGTGATAGATCTACAGACGGTAGCAATTCGTGCTCAGAAATACGGGAACGACATAGACACATGTATAATGAACTATCGAAGATGCTGTACTTGGGACTGGTCTTCAAGTGCTCGGTCTTTGTTAGCAGACTTTAAAGACTATTAATGTCGATTGTATATGTTGAGCTTTACCTATGAGGTGGTCGTTGGAATCACGCTAACCTGCTGCCACGTCGACCAGATCATCCCCACGCAGCTAAGACGCAAGAGTGGAAATTGAGGATGATGATGATGATGATGTCTTACTTAAATTGTACGTTCGTTTGTTGATTTACCATGTAAATTCTAAGTGCACTGTAAGACACTGTAGCTTCACACTGTTTGACCTGTACTGTGTAGACAGAACACTTACATTAGTGGTCCAGCTATTAAGTTTTGTATTCTTTTCTGACCTGGCAAAGTTTAGGTACATTTTCAGGTAGAAGAAAAAAATTGTAGAGGAATACAAACGCACACAGCAGAAAGGATTTGTAGAGGAACACAAACGCACACACAGTCGGACAAAGGACATGATGATAAATATTATTCAAGTTTAGTCAAAAAGATTCTCAGAATATCTTGGACAAAGAAGATGAGAAATATTGACATCTTAACAGATCTGAACATCAAGAAAGATTGGCTTATAAACAGCATCCTTTCTCGAAAGCTGAAATATTTTGGTCATATCAAGCGCCACGACGGAGTGGGAAAAAAATAATAGCAGAAGGCATGGTACCAGGAAGGAGGGGCAGGAGCCGACCAACACGAAGATGGGCACAAGAAGGTGAAAGTACATGAGGCGGGAGAGCTGACGGGAGACCGAGTTTCTTTCAGGCAGACTGTGATGAGAGCGACGTTCTGCAAAGGACCTGCTACATGATGATGATGATTAGTCACAAATGTGATATTCTATATCCACCACTCAACTATTGCACAGCAGGTAACACCGCTTTATACTGTTTTCGGTTATACAATCTTCACCCACACAGGATGCGGGTGCTCTAGTTATAACTTCGTTTGAGTTTTTGTAAAAAAAAAAAAAAATGGAGACAAGCATGTTCCGTGCAGAGTGGCAAACATCGCTTCAGAGGTCCCGGATAATTAGCGTCCTTTGGATATTTTCTCCAGGCTATGCCGGTGTGATGACAATCGAGCAGGCAAATATACTGGCCGGTTCTGCCCCACTTTGTGGTGAACTGATTATGACAAGCTGTAAAGGTCCTTTGGGAGAGAGTGAACAGAGCGGAGGTACAAATAGATCATTACGCTCTGAGGAGAATTTCACTGAGAGGAGTTACCAGGGGATTTTGGCCGACGCTCAACACTCAAGGAAAAGGCGTCATCGATATACATCAATTAGTGGTACCATCGGAATGTGAATTGCTGCTGAAAATAGAGACGGAGCGCTTATGGAAGCGTTCCAAGTGATATGATGACGGACAAGAACAAACTTAGTTGTGCACACATAATGTATATTAGATTAGCAAAAAGACTGCCTGTATGCTAGGTAGCAACTATATAGAGTAAACTAGTGGTTTGTTGTCATAGTCATTACTCAGCATATAAATAGTTGACATAAAATACTTTTATAGCTCGTGTCATTTGATTTTCACATCACTATTACAGACACAGTTAAGCAAAGTTAACTACAGTCTAGTGTTGTTTTAACGATAAATTTAATGAATTTAATATTATAGAATTCGGAACATCAGGTTACTAGTCTTTGGGTTGCTTAGAAGTGTTTCGTGTATTCAATACGATGATTGGGTATGAAAGCATGTATGACTTTATTCTTGTAGGGTAAATTCATCCGTATTCACTTCGGCACTCAAGGAAAGATTGCAGGTGCTGATATTGAAACCTGTAAGTTGCAAACTATTACCTATTTGATCATTATAGTTTCGTTTGTATGGATTGTGAGTCGTCTAGTGTAGTTGTCCCTACCTTCACCTGTCGGGTTAGGGGTTCATATCTGCATATGACATTTTTCAAAACTGACCTTGGTTCCAAGGTCGACTTAACCTAAAATTGGTACCAGGTAATGTCATGGGAAGTAAAGGTAGCGTGTGTGATGTTTACCACATGACACATCGAGCGCCAAATGGGTTTTACAAATATATATCTAGCCCTATAGAAACAAACACCGACATTCTACATGATCTAAACATGGAAAAGAACTGGCACATAAAAGTATCCTGTCTCGAAAGCTGTGGTACTGTGGCCATGTTAAACGTCATGGCGACTTGGAGAGAACGGTGATGGAGGGTACAGTTTCCGGGGAAAACCAGACGGAGGCAGACCTCCTCGAATGTGGAGATAAAACATTGCAGATACCTCGGCTACGAAAGCACACAGAGGTGGATCATTGGCTAGAGCAGTGGTCTCAACCTTTTTCATGTCTGGCCCCTTGAGTATATGGCAAGACCTCCCCACCCCCTTGAGTATATGGCAGGACCTCCCCACCCCCTTGAGTATATGGCAAGACCTCCCCGCCCCTTTGAGTATATGGCAAGACCTCCCCGCCTCCTTGAGTATATGGCAAGACCTCCCCACCCCTTGAGTATATGGCAAGACCTCCCTGCCCCCTTGAGTATATGGCAAGACCTCCCCACCCCCTTGAGTATATGGCAAGACCTCCCCACCCCCTTGAGTATATGGCAAGACCTCCCCACCCCCTTGAGTATATGGCAAGCACCCCCTTGAGTAATGGACCTCCCCCACCCCTTGAGTATATGGCAAGACCTCCCCGCCCCTCCCCCCTGAGTACATGGTGGAAATCCACCACGCCCCCTTGAGTATATTGCAAGACCCTCATACCCCGCTCACCCCTTTTGGCACATGTGAGTATATGGCAACACCCTCAAGCCCCCTTTGAGTGTATGGCAACACCCTCACGCCCCCTTTGAGTACATGGCAACACCCTCACGCCCCCTTTGAGTACATGGCAACACCCTCACGCCCCCTTTGAGTACATGGCAACACCCTGAAGCTACCTTCGAGTATATGGCAACACCCTCAAGCCCCCTTTGAGTACATGGCAACACCCTCACGCCTTTTTTGAGTATATGGCAACACCCTCACGCCCCCTTTGAGTACATGGCAACACCCTCACGCCCCCTTTGAGTACATGGCAACACCCTCAAGCCACCCTTGAGTACATGGCAACACCCTCACGCCTTCTTTGAGTACATGGCAACACCCTCACGCCTTCTTTGAGTACATGGCAACACCCTCAAGCCACCCTTGAGTACATGGCAACACCCCCACGCCCCCTTCGAGTACATGGCAACACCCTCACGCCTTCTTTGAGTACATGGCAACACCCTCACGCCTTCTTTGAGTACATGGCAACACCCTGACGCTACCTCTAACAACAAAATCTGACTAAAAAGAGGAGGACAATAGATTATGCAAACGAGAAACAGAAAGTACGGAGATGCGTTTTGGTCAGAATGTGTTCTTAAAGTATAATTAGATGCGCGTGTTATTATATTAGTTAGATTTGTAATGGTAGATGTAAAAACTCCTCATGAAAACAAAAATGTCCCTGTTGTTTTGTGTAATAAATAGTTTATAAGATAATTTATTTATAATTAAACTAATAATTTACCAAAGTGTAAAAATAATGGATTATTACAAGTAAAATTGAACTCGCTTTCAGAATTGCTTGACACCCCCAGCCCCTTTTTTTCCCACCATCCCTTCCTCCTTGAAACTTACTTTCGATCCCCTTGTGCCGTGACACGAGCGGGGTTTTGTAAAGGACCTGCTGATTGACGACAATGAGCCCTATGTGCCCGATACGCCAAAAAGGTTGAAAAAAGGTCATTTAGTTTGGATCATATAGTCAGAGTCTGGGCGGCTGCCTGATGACTTGACTACTATTGCGACTTCAAGAGTCTATTCGATGGCAATTTAACATGGCAAAACCTAAATATCGTTTGAAACTGCATTAAGTTATAATTAGGGTATGCATAATAAGCTAATCTCATTTAATGGTTAAGTCTGAAAGTTAATTTTATACAAAATAATACTTTTATTAAAAACTTGTTGACATAAAATAAAAGTAATTACACATGGGGTAAGGGAGGGGGGACAGAGAGAGAGAGAGAGAGAGAGAGAGAGAGAGAGAGAGAGAGAGAGAGAGAGAGAGAGAGAGAGAGAGAGAGAGAGAGAGAGAGAAAGAAAAGGTACACAATGCTGATAATTTTTGTCCTCCTGTTACTTGCCTTACACAGACCTGCTGGAGAAGTCTCGAGTCACTTTCCAACAGCCAGCTGAACGAAACTACCACATCTTCTACCAAGTGCTGTCACCTACCCTCTCCCATCTCCATGGTAATTCACCCATTTTGATTTGTTTTCTGTAGTATCTGAATTTTGAAAGTCGTTCCTATGTGTATGCCATGTCTTTCAGTCAAATTAAGCACAAACCCTGAACCACTTATGACAAGAATTTTTATTTTATTTGTTCTATGATTTGAATTTAAAGCTAATTTGTTGTTTGTTAACTATTTGAGGAAGTATTACACTAATAAAATTAAAAAAAAAAGGCACTGAACAGGCTGGTTCGTTTCACAGATGCCTGAAGTCATATGTATCAGCCAGTCAATATTTGATGTGATAAATTTCAATCAGAGACAATCCATACGATCAGCGCAAAAAAAAACATCTCATACAAAGCATATACATTCCCCCTCTATGCTACCAGTGCCAGACATGGTCATTCACAACAAACTATAAAAGAAAATTAGTAACCATGGAAGTCAGATGTCTTAGAAGGGCTCCAGGAGTGACCAGAAGAGAGAGAGAGAGAGAGAGAGAGAGAGAGAGAGAGAGAGAGAGAGAGAGAGAGAGAGAGAGAGAGAGAGAGAGAGAAAATAAGAACTGAAGTCAGAGACCGAGTCAGCACAAAATAAGTTCTACCCAATATACAAAGAAATCAATGTAAATGGTTTTCCTACTTTGAAAGAATGCCTTTTGGTGCTCTATCGTACAGGTATACACTAATAGAAGAGAAGTAGGTAGAGCAAAAGGTAGACAAAGAACAAGATGGAAAGATAACATCAGAGAAACTCTCCAAAATGCACAGCGTGACAGTGGTCGAAGCGGCCAGAGGAGCAAAAAGCAGAACCTCAAATCTCCCTTAACACCTGAAAGAGGAAGTGAAGAAGAAGAAGAATTTCACTCAACCGTCTTTACTTTCCAAGATAGTTCCTGGTATCCATTATGGGCTAAATGACCTGCGAACAAAAGTAAAAAACTTCGCAAGTGTAGTGGATTCAAACACATCACTGCTTATCCATCAGGCGTATGTGCTAACCACTGCAATACTGGGGTTTTGTAAGAAATATAATACTATAACAATAAGCTCCAGGGAAAACGAAGAACAAAATTAAAATATAATATCAGATAAAAATATAAAACTCTGCAACAGCAAAAGAATGTATAAAGGGGGAGGTGGCAAGAACATTATAAAGCAGAGCCTGATATCTCCCAACTCCCTGTGTGGACTCCGGGACCATATTGTGGGAGGGAAAAAGAATAGCCCAACTGCCCACTAATAAACATTGTTATTGGAGGCCTCTGATTATGTGTTTCCTTCAAATCTGGAGTGCATCCGCCTGTGAGGCGAGCAACTAACAGTCTGCATACAATTAAGCAAAATCTGTGTAATGAATGTGCACACAAAACTCAAGTTCTCGAACAATGCCACAGTCTAGAAGTGGACAAACAATCATGTTTCCACTGGTGTCTACAGCCAGTGAACGCTGAGAAGAAGAAGAAGATCTCCTACAACAAAGGGGACAAAAGAGAAATTGATGGGAAAAAACACACAATAACAACGATCCCCTAAGACTTTGATGGATATTGGAACCATGTTTTGAAACATACAATACAAGCATTGAAATAAGCATTTGTTTGTACACAGAAAAGCTGCTTCTCTCCCCGGACCCTGCTTTGTATGCATTCATCAATCAGGGCTCCTTGATTGTCGATGGTATTGATGACACAGAGGAGATGAAGATTACAGACGTAAGTTTCCTTCTCTCCAAATTCTCAAATATTTGTTTATATACCTTTTTCATATTATATATTTCCCTTCTAATCTGTGAATTTGTGAGTCATGTATTCTTACTCAGGCGCTGAGAAAGAACATCAGTTTTTGAACTGAAGTGCTACAGAAAAATTATTAGAATCTTGGCCATGTCTATCATCATGATAAACTGGAAAAAATTGTTACGGAGGGTAAAGTTTCAAGAAGATGAGGCAGAGAATGACTTCTACGAAGGTGGTCACAAGATGTTAAAAATGAATTGGCCATGAAAACACACAGGGCTTGAGAAGGGCTAGAGAGAGCGCGAGAGAGAGAGAGAGAGAGAGAGAGAGAGAGAGAGAGAGAGAGAGAGAGAGAGAGAGAGAGAGAGAGAGAGGGGCATGCCGAAAATGACCTTCTTTGTTTTTCTCTCTTTCTTTCTATATTTTTTTTTTCGTAAACTGCTGACTGATAACGTGGTAACGAATTACTAGTGTTCCGTAAGCTTTTTAGCCCTTTACTTTCTTGGAATAACTATACATTCATTTCTCTTTTTTTCCTTACCTCATCTCTCATTCTCTTAATTTTTTTCTGTTGATCTATTTTTCTTTGTTTACTCTTGCTGCCTAATCTCTAATTAACTTATGTCTCTACTGGTGTTGGAGACACTGGCACACACCAGCTCAAGTGACAACGATCAATAAGATCAGTATTAAACAGCATTCAGCTCTCCAAGTCTCCAGACAATTTGGATGTAATGTCAGGTATCTAGGAAGACTTCTGTGGGGAAAGTTGTCAGGTTATTCACCTCATACTTCAAAGATCCTCTACTTCTTCTCTCTAGTCGCTGTTTTCCCTTTCCGCATCAGGTTTTGACGAGGCAACTGGTGCGAGCTTTGGTGTGCTAGATGGGTACTGGTATGCATGACCTAAGATATTCCATCTATCCATTGCTAGTATGGTATTTTCTCTAGATTTGCTTGCACTGTTCCCCATGTGGACTCTAGGGCCCTATTTTAGGGGCAAAAAGCCCCATTTTTCCTCCCCAATAGCATGTCGTAAAGGTCGACTGAATTGGGATGTATCCTTTGAAGTCGGAGTGCATCTACATGAAAGGCGAGGAATCAAGAGTATGCATAAAAATAAGCAAGATCGTTAATTTGGATGTGCACGCAAAAGTGAAGTTTTTGAACAAGACCAAAGTCCAGAAGTTGACGAACAACCAGAACTTTCTCACTAGTTTACAGCCGGTAAAGAAAAAGTAAAAGAAGAAGCTTCCATAGTGTCTGTTCGACAGTGCTCTCTGTAATACCAAGGCCTGGACAGGCTTGTGTCATGTCCGAACTATTTGATTTATTGTCTCTTGATGTATTTTAGCACTGGCTCCTTCTGTACCTGTATCCTCATATAGTTGCAGCCTATCCTGTCTCTTTGTGCTTTGTATATCATAGTCCTTGTGTGGGTTCTGGGGCCCCACTGTGGGGAAAACCAGAATGGACTAACTGCCCTCCCCCTCACCAATAATATGTCATAAAATCGACTACCTGGGGGCTTCCTTCAAAGTTGGAGTGCATCTGCCTGAGAGGCAAGGAACCAGAAATCTGCAAACAAATAAGTGAGATCTGTAAAACGGATGTGCATGCAACACTCAGGTTCTGGAACAAGACCTTCTGCTGGAGTTGACTGCTGGTGAACGCGAAGAAGAAGAGGAGGAAGAAAAAAAAAAGAAGTAGTAGTATTTTACAGGTAGGTTTAGTTTAACACCGAGCCAAGATCCATATAAAGACATAATTTCACATGTTTCATTACATATGTATTATAGTTGTAAGCATAGATCATGTGATTTCTCACCTGCAGGAAGCCTTTGATGTGTTGGGCTTCACCAATGATGAAAAGACCTCACTGTACAGGTGTACAGCTGCTATCATTCATTTTGGCGAGATGAAGTTCAAGCAGAGGCCCAGAGAGGAGCAGGCCGAAGCTGACGGAACAGCTGGTGAGTAAACTTTGTCTGCACTTGTGTCCATGATAATTGCTTTGAATAACTCTCTTCTTCCTACACAATGCACCATGTGTCTAAAAGTAGTTGGGATTCAAAGTGTCAGCCATTTGGGTTGATGCAAAGTCTTGAGGCATGGTGTCCGCCTCGAGTGCTAGAGGTTCCGGGTTCAATCCACGGTAAGGGCTGGTATTTTTTTTCCCTGGACTCAGGCTTCTAGTAATTCCCCCTGGTCTATGGGTAGTGAGATCGGACGCCCGTGTGCATTGTTGCGCACATAAAAAATCCCTTGGCAGTTAGAAATAAAAAGGAGTAGCCCAACGGCGATTTAGAGTTGAAAATCTACCCAAAGTATTTCAGGATCCTCGCCCCTGCTACAGAGTATGTGCACTGTGCTGAGCTTCTTCGGACTCAGACTTGAGTCAGAAAATAACGAAGCACTTATAGGTTACTACCTGTATGCCATGACGCTGATCTGTTATTTAAACCTCACACCTCAAAGTTTCAGCCTCACTGCAATGGGTTACTTCATAATTTCTCCAGTCCTGTGCCAGTGAGAATCTCAGAAAGTGCCAATAATTGCCCAGTTTAGAAATTAGTGAACAAATAACTGGTCCGTGCAAAATTTAGCAGAAGGAATAGCCAGAAATGAAAGGTGTCATCCCTGTGTAGATTTTAAGAGCCCCATTGTGGGAAAACAAGAACAAACCCACTGTGTTTCCAGCAAGCATATCACAGGAGTCGACTAACTGGGGCATCGTCCTTTAAGGTCAGAGTGCATCCGCCTGAGAGGCAGGGAATCAACAGTCTACATATAAATAAGTCAGATCTGTAAAACGGATGTGCACACAACACTCAAATCCTGGAAAAAGACTAAAGTTCAGAAGTGGACGAACAACCAGAGCTTTCTACTGGAGCTGACAGCAGGTGAACGCCAACATAAAGTCCATCACCAGAATAGCAGTTGTTTTTATTATAACTATTAATATTACTATTATTAAGCAATTAAACAAGATTCAGGTCCTCTTCCACACTCTCTAGAAAATGTGTAAGACAACTGATCTTCTGCCCTCATACATCATTGACTACTCTTTATTTAAGATAGTAAACATAATCTTTGTAAGATTCTACACGAAAGAATGTATATCTGCCGATCTTGCGTTCTTTGGGCGCCAGATAGGAACCAGTAAACATATGATGCGTTCCCTGGGACTCAGAACTAGAAGGATGTGCTGTTGTTTTGTGTTTGCTGTATTGTGATATAATTCTAGACAGTTAAATGACTGGTTGTTTTTTTTTTTCTGTTGATTTTTCTAGAGGCTGAGAAGGTGGCATTCCTTCTGGGTATTAATGCTGGTGATCTTCTAAAGGGTCTTTTGAAGCCAAAGATCAAGGTCGGCGCTGAATATGTAACTCAAGGTCGTAACCTTGCTCAGGTGAGTCATTTTAAAAACAAAATAACCCAAGAGCACTCGTATAAAAAAAAATAATAGCTGCAATATAATCCAATCAAATGAGACTGTTATTCGTTGACAGTCAGCAGATTGATCTATCCATCAATGACTTGGTAAGACCATGTTACAGTTTCACTTAATTTCACTTTTGTAAAAGATGTTTTTTTTTTAGTAGTATATGCTGTAAAAAACTCTTTCAATCCTAGATTATCAGTTTTAAACAAACAGATTAAATACTTTGTTTTTAAAGTCCTAGTGTTTTAATGAGCTACAAAAAAGCGTTTCGTATCGTATCGTCGTATCGTATCGTATAAAATCAAACAAAAATTCCAAGCTTAGTCCTTTTTTAGCCGCCTGATGGCCTGCTTTTTCAAGGACGGTTCCTTTGCTATCTTAATTATTTAGCGTTTAACTTTAACTCTTTAAGTCTTTAAATACCAGAGGAGTTAGTCTTACATTCCAAAGGTAACAATAGACAAGTGAACAAAAACAATGTGTGAAAGTATAGCTGTTACATATGCAGTAACTCAAATACCATGTGGAATATTAGAATAAATAGCCAGGTTTCTGTAGTATGATTAGGTTAAACAAGAAGTCACATCATTCATAGTTTGTTGCACATGGTCAATACATGATCATACATGGCACATTTGTTTCGACTAAAAGAATTAAGATAGTAGGAGTTAAATGAAGTATTAATTGGGAATAAATGGATTAAAGTAACAGAAGAGTGGTCTAGAAAAATTTTTAACAATTAATTGTAGTGTATCAAACAATCTGTGGTGAATTGCTTAGTAGTGAAAGAGTTAAAGAACAAAGGTCTCCCCATCACTACATTGTGACTGATCTGCCAAGGAATAGTATCATTTTAAAACATTGAGTCATTATTTCTTCAGGTTTTTTTACTTTACCCCATAAACTAGGTCACGGGGGCACAAGTCCTGATGAGATTCTAGTATTTCATCTCCATACGTATTGTCAAAATGTATTGTTTAAAAAATAACAAAATAAAACTTCCCTATGTCAACAGAGTACATATACAATAAACATAACATATTATAATTTTGTGCCTGAAGATTAAAAAGGATACTTGATAATTTAAATCCTACTACAGTTTGTGGTTAGATTATTGTAGATAATACAATTTTCTCAGAAATTGACTTATATTGTGTGTTACACATGATTGCCAGTTGCCTAAGAACTTTCAATTTGTTCTGACAATGTTAGGTATCCAGTTCACTACCCAGAGGTCATGGAAGAGAAGGACATTGTTAGATTTGAACAAATAGGACACAAACATTGGACTGCATTTTACCTGGCATATTTCACTGTTCTCTTCTACTTAATACATAAATATTTTAGTTAAAGCAAATAAATTTTTTTTTAACTCAACGAGTCATTTTAATAAGATGCATTGAAATTTTGGTCCCAGCTACTTATCTCAAATTGTTTTAAAATTACTATTATAAGTTTTTGAGTTTTCTTCATTGTAATGATGATAGTTATGAGTGTGACTTCTACATTGTACAGGTAACCTACTCCGTAGCAGCCTTGGCCAAGTCGCTGTATGACCGCATGTTCCTGTGGTTGGTTAAACGTGTCAACAAGACCCTGGACACCAAGAACAAGAGGCAGTTCTTCATTGGCGTGCTCGACATTGCTGGTTTTGAGATTTTTGATGTAAGCAAATTCTAAAAATGAATTCTTTTTCTTCTTCTCTTATCCATTGCAGGTTGGCCATGAGCAACTGACTCCTGGTCATAAACAACTGACTCCTGGTCATAAACAATTGACTCCTGGCTATATTGTCACATGTCTACAACTCCATTCATATTCTCTTCGTATTATTTATCAGCATCTAGTTTTCACCTCTGTTTTCATGTCTCTATTTCCTCTGCTCTGTGGGTTCAAGAGAAAGACTTTCTAGTCATATTGTTAGCAGATTTTATCAATGTATGTCTTATCTAGAGTTAGGGTATTTTTTTATCTTGCTTTGATTCACTAGAATTTATTTAGTTCTTTCTTTAAGCTACAGATTCGTAACTCTGTCATATAATACTATTCTTTTTGTTTGCGCAGGTACTACTAGTTAATGCATTTAAAAATTTATTAATTTTTTTAGCAGTCTTCAATGTTTCTGTCTCATATCAGAATGTATTATCAGTTTTAAATACACTTGTTTCATGTCTCACTGCAAAATATGGCGTAGCCTACTATGTTGTCTGCCTGCTTTTGGGCTTTTGCCAGCTGGTGTTTTCTTCTTCATAGTAGTTGGTAACTGCATCTCATACTGCATTTATTGTTTAATGTTTTATATTTATTACCCTTTTAAATCATTTTTTGTTTGCTACTTTGATTCTCCAAACTATTTTTCTAATTTTGTCTTGGATTCAGCATCTTCATTTAATTTTAGCTCTGCCTGATCTTTTTTGTTTATGTTCCAAAGTTCACTTGCATACTGAAATACTAATGAGATTTGTAATTTTAGCACTTTGGTTAGAGATGAAGTATTTAGTGATTTAGTCAACAGATTTTCTCACTGCACATTACGACACTGAGTCCATAAGTGCTACGATCCCCTCCTCACAAGCCTTTCTTATATATGGCTTTTAAAACACTCATATTTTATATATAAATATGTATATCAAGCATATTATGTTCATATATATAAATTCATAGTATGAAATGTATATTAAAATAATAAGTCGTGGTTGGCAAAATCATACCTTCAAATATTCATGCAACACACACATAAAGCACTATTGACTAGGTGGTCTGGCGGACACTTCACACTAAGAGGAAAGACAAGATGCACTTACAATATTGGTTCCATCAGAGTTGGAACTCTTCGCAGGCTGCTGAAGATGGGAACAGAACACTTATGGGAATGTCCTGGTGGCTATGATATTGGTTCTTAAAATTCAACTCAAAACACACAACGCAGATACACAGATAATTCACACAGTGCAGACACACACACATAATAAAAAAACAGACAACACAGACACACACATGTATTGCAAGCACATGGACAATGCAGACACACACACACACCCACAGGCAGACACACACACACAAGGCAGACACACACACACACACAAGGCAGACACACACACAAGGCAGCAAAATCAAGTGAGGTAGTAGTAGAACAGATGTACCCACATGAACAAACATGCTAACACACGAAGGTGCACACACCGACAACACATACACTGACACAACATATATTAACAGACACAAAATGCACACAAATGAAAAACTGTTGTGTAAATGACATCACATATTCAGAACTTAATAATGTGTATGCCTAGCAACCAACTAATGGCTGCCATTTACCCACAGTTCAACAGTTTTGAGCAGCTCTGCATCAACTACACCAACGAGCGCTTGCAGCAGTTCTTCAACCACCACATGTTTATCCTGGAGCAGGAAGAGTACAAGAAAGAGGGCATCGATTGGGAGTTCATTGACTTCGGCATGGACTTGCAGGCAGCCATTGATCTCATTGAGAAGGTACCCCACTGTAATCTGCATTAATAAAAACGTTTTATAAAATAATGCAATTTATGGGTATTAAGGCCCACTTTTTTGGGTGGTGTGGGGGGGGGGGGAATACACCCACTGCTCCCTGACAAGCATGTCATGTCATAAAAGGTGATGAATTAGAAGCATCTCCTTCGAAGTTGGAGCGCATCTGCCTGAAACAGGAAACCACAAGTCTGTATATAAAAAGGTCAGATCTGTATGCGGTTGTACATGCAAAACTCAAGTTCTAGAATGAAGACCCAAGTCCACAAGTAGATGAACAGCCAGAACTTTCTGCGTGAGTTTACAGCCACTGAATGCTTAAAAAAAAAGCTTCTATTTTTGCACTAAAAAGGCAAAGATAATTGATTATGTAGTTTGACAGAAACATGAATATTAATTATTCTCTTTACATAATTAATCTATATATTTATATTATGACTAATACAAGTTAGGGGCGCCTAACTAACAACACATAATACCTGACTCAGTTTGACAAAAGTATAATTTATTTTAAGTAAACATTACATTTAGTTATTATATGTACAGATACTATGCAATTATGTGTATATTTTTTCAAAGGGATAGAATGCAGAGGACGGATTAATAGAAGTTTTGTGCTCATTTATTTAGGACTCTTGATTATAAATCTTGTTTGTTCATCTCACTGATAAACACCACATATCAATGCTCACTTTCAGCCCATGGGTATCTTGTCCATCCTTGAGGAAGAGTGCATGTTCCCTAAGGCTAGTGACAAGACCTTCCTGGAGAAGCTGAACAACAACCACTTGGGCAAGTCAAAGAATTATGGCAAAGCTGGAAAACCCAAGAAACCTGGCCAAGTGGAAGCTCACTTTGAGCTTCATCACTATGCTGGCAGCGTAAGTCCACATTTTTCTCTCTAAAAATTATATCTGCATTTACATCTTGGTTCTTGGTGTAATGGAAAAGCTCTGTTGATGTCACTTCATGGCATTCCATCTAACGTCACTCTTGATGTACTGAAAAAGCTCTGTTGGCGATACTCCATGGCATTTCATCTAACATCATTCTTGGTGTACTGGAAATGGAAAATCTCTGTTAAAGATACTCCACAGTATTCCAAAAAACAGCATTCTTGGTGTACTGAAAGAGCTCTGTTGAAGATACTTCATGGCTTCCATCTAAAATCATTCTGGGGGTACTGGAAGAGCTCTCTTGAAGACACTGCATGGCATTCCATCTAACATTATTCTTGGTGTACTGGAAGAGCTCTCTCTGTTGAAGATACTTTATGGCATTCCATCTAACATCATCTCTGTTGGTCTGTACAATCTTTGTCCACTGCTGGTCTTTTGAGCTGTCATCATGCTTTTTAGTGCCTCTCTTCTCATCACATGTCTAAATGGTCTGGAGTGACAGGTTAAAAAAGAATGGGTGGGATTTGGTTACAAGGTAAATGGACACTGTTTGAAAACAGACATGTAGTATGAGAATGGAAGTAGAGGTTTCAACAGCAGTTTTATGTTGGCTTGAGAGCAGTACAGCTCACCACGCTGTAACTGTAGTGGACTCACAGAGCACGTTTCAGGGTGCTTTATTAAAATCCTACCCCAAACAGGGAAAAACCACAGGTCACTGGACAGTCTAATATTTTGGGGGGTGGCTGATAGGCTGCATGCGGTGGTGGGACCAAGACTGCACGAAGTCGTGGGACCTAGGCTGCACTCGCTTGTGTGATGTAGGTGGGTTGGGGTTTGGGCCAGTTCTAGATGTTTTTGGGTCGTTAAAAGCATCAGAAAGCCGGGAAACCCAGTCTCACCACCCTCTCAAATGTTGGACTGCCCTATGACGTCATCTGGGGGTAGGAAAGCACCAGCTTCATAAGTGTAAACTTGCTGTCTACACACAGAGTGGCTTGCTTTGCTTGACAAGACTTTGATAAGTAGCATATCATGGATTTTCTGTCAATGAAACTTGGGGATTGGGGGGGGGGGGGGGGGGAGGCCTGGAGGAGTAAGCTGATTGATTGGTTGCTGTCACGCCTCTGGATGGTGAGCTACTTTATAATGAAGTGGATGTGGTGAAGGCTCTCTGGGATCAAGTGGACAGTGCAATAGAACAGAGTATCCTTACCTTGACAGTTTATTTCAGTGGGCAGTGAACAGAGGTTCTAGAACACTAAGGGGAAATCACAGACTTTTAAAGAGGTTGAAGCTAGTAATGTCAGCATATCGAATCCTCATTGGCTACTGAGGAAGGAGTGTCCCGAGTACAAGGAAGTCAGTTCTTGACTCATTAAATCATTCATGAATGTCCCTATTGGTTTATGCCGTAAAACTGAATATAGTTTTCTAATTGTTTTAGAGCCTCCCCCCCCTCACAACTCATACCATCACCCCAGGCAATAGTTATTGACACTGGCTATCCTAGAAGTTCACAACCTTTGTCTCAGTTTCATATCTTATCTGCCTTGACATTCATTCAACAGAAACAATGCATAGGAAAGAGTGTATTGAGGAATCTCTGCACACAATGGTAGAAGTGGATATACTATACATAAATAAATAAATAAATAAAATGGGTATAACATTGATACTGATGATTAAACTAGTGATTAAAGATGTATTAGAATTTCATTGACAATAAAAGAATGTAAATCTTTCTGAGACTGATGATCACGTGAGACTGAGAACGAGGACTGCCTAGATTTTTCTGCATGACTTATGACGGTGTTGTGTTTTGAAGATTAAAATCATTTTAGGATTTATATTCACTTTTACTTTTTGTGTTACAGTTTGTACCCTCATTTTCTGGTGTTTCTGCCTTGTAGGTGCCCTACAATATTACTGGCTGGTTGGAGAAGAACAAGGATCCACTGAATGAAACTGTGGTTGAACTGTTATCCCACTCCAAGGAGGCCCTTGTGGGTTATCTGTTCCAGGCACCTGAGGGCGCTAGTGGTATGTTTTCATTTCTTAGTTGAACAGTTTCTGAACAGTTTAACTTTTAATTTATGCCACACAATCTTTCAAGAGAACATAAAATAGTGACAGCCATTTGTAGGTTTAATTGCCGGGATTGTCAAAACCCACAACTAGATTGCACACTGATAAGTCTACAAGGAGTTGTATCCATCTCAGAATAGTTCACATTGTGCAGCTTAGGCAAGGACCTCAGTGTACCGTTACAAATACAACTCTTCATCTTTTGCCTTCTAGCCCTCAGTGGAGCATAGGCTCCCAGTCAGTCATGCCAAGTCATTCTAATCTTCATACTGCACGCAGCTCTTCTCCATGTCCTACCCATTTTTTTAAACTTCACTCTCTCGAACTCCCTTCTCCATGTGTGTTTTGGCCTTCTTATATGTCTTTGCCCCTGTGGGTTCCGGTAGACATTCTAGTTGTATTGTTCTCAGGTTTTCTCAGTGTGTGTCCTATCCAGGGTCAGCATCTTTTCTTCACCTCTTGCTCCCTGAAACTTGTTTACTTCCTTCCCAAAGCTCCACATTAGTGATTCTATCACACAATTGAATTTCCTCTATTCTGCACAGGCACCAACAGTGTAAACAACAATGAATGTTCTTAAAAAATAAGCAAGGAAAATATGAAGCAGGTCTTATACCTCATTATTCCAGCATTTTGGTTTCTGATCTCACAGTAAACATAAAATTGTTTGCATTAAACTGTCAATACAAGACTAGTTTAATTGGAGACACTATGATGGTTGATTATCAAACTTTTATCCTTGTGTGAATTTAAATTTTTTGGTTTGAACCAGCAGGAATAAGGAGTAATTTTGGGTTATAAGAGATAAACGAAAAAGAAGAAAAATCATATCAAGTGCAAAATGATTGTTTCTGTGATTCTGTATAGTTATATTTCTTAGTTTCCTAATAACCCAGTTAACATTCTTCACTCTACATAAGCAGAATTATTATGATAACAACAGAATGAATTTTAAATTAGGACAGGTTTTTTTTTTCTTTGATGTTTAAAACAGATTTGATTTGACTAGAGCAAGATACAGCTTTGTTTTATTTCAATATCTTAATACTTGTTTAGTGTTGATTTTCTTGAGGGTATTGCTACAGTCGGTATACAATTGTCATGAATTTAGCAGTGTCTAGTATGTAAGGAGTTAACAGAACTCCCCACAACAGAGAAGATAGTTGAATTTTAAATTTCTGTGGTCTATACTTTTTCTATATATTTCTTTCATGATCATAAAGCAGATGAAGGGACAGCAAGCAAATCTGTTCAAAGAAAGAAAGGAAGCAGCTTTCAGACTGTGTCCTACATGCACAAGGTCAGGGTTCAAGGTTCCTTTCATGTTCAACCAATCCTAAGCGTTTCTCCTGAGACTAGTGGCTCAGCCGCAGTTTTTCCAGGAGAAACTAAAGGCATTGGTTCATTTATTAAAACACCGAGCAAAATCTATCGAAAGTTGTAACTGCTATTTAAAACTAAATTTAACTGAATCGTTTTTTAGACATGAATATGGGAGAAAACACTAAAAAAAAAAAAAAAAAAATTTGAAACAGATCAATATAAAAAGAAAGATTTGCTGGGTGTCCATTAATGATGGCAGATCTTTTCTTGCAGGTTACACAAGCCATCTTCAAGCCAGAAAAGCAGGATTATATTTTTTCATTCAACTATTTAATAATAAACATTTAAGGCAAGAAATGATGAATTATGTCTTTCAGGAACTTGATCAAACCATTTATTTCCCTTCGTGTATTTTTATAGAAGCAAATATTGGAAAGAAGAAGAAATCAACTGCTTTCCAGACTATCTCGTCTGTCCACAAGGTATTCTTATAGTCCAGCATGATGTGAGATGTAGGACACCCACCCCCCTCCTGTAGGGAGGGCCATGTTGTGTTTACCACTTTTCCCTCATTGAAACCCTGAAACCCATTTGTTTTTAATTTCTCTTTCCTGTTAACACATTTCTGACTTCCATTAGCTATTGTTAAAACAACCCATTAGTTTGCTGTCTGTATGTTAATTCTTTCAGTCCCCTACAATGCAGGATGTGCTGTTGCCTCTTTCCTATGAATCCCAACCATTGGATTATGTTTTCTCAGACTTTAAAAAAAAAAATTTGGCCAGAGTATACTAAAGAAATCTGGCTGTGGTGGCCACTTCTGCTGTCAATTTTGTCTCTTTAAAAGTAATATCATTGTAGTTATTCCTCCCTTTAGACATCTGCTGCAACTTTCTGGGACTGAAAGAGAAAAAAATTCCTTTTTGAAACAACACTTTTGTAAGATCACTAGTAAACATTGCCTGTAAAACTACTGCATGTTTTATTTAGAATGGTAGACCACCTGTAACAAATGTGTTTCTGTTTTGTTACCAGTTTTACTTTGACCAGCTTAATATTCACAGTTTTAACTTTACACACCTTAGTGATACACCTGCATGACCTAGACCCTGAGTGTTTATTTCACACCTTTCCATGTTCTTTTATTGCCTTCCTCACCAGTTTGACCCAGTTTAAACAGTGTGGATAGATAGTTTCAACCTCCCCAATTAAAACAATAACCAAGATGTTTTTCTCATTAATATTAATGTTTTCCCTTTTTAATTTATTTGTTTGTTTAAACCTACGAGTAATAAACAAAATATAACGCCCGACTGGTCTGCTAAACAAGAACACAGTTATGAGAGACAGAATGGATGTTGTGGCTAGGGAAGCCTCCATCAGCAAAACAAACAAACACACTGATACAACTACATTAAAAACATTTTAATTAAGAAAGTTGTTTAAATTTTTGAAGTATGAGTCCAGGACTTGTCTCAATTCTAGAGTGCTGAAATAAAACATAACCAGCTATGAGTTATCTAATCAGCTGACAGGATGTAACATATTAAGGGGATTTTCCGGAAAAGGGGATTGAGAGGGGGGGGCGGGGGGGGGGAGGGGGCGGAGAGGTTGGGGGGCAAGGTGAAAGGTAATTCTGAAGATAAAAATATGAATGGGGTGTGCACATAAAAAAAAAACAGCTTGAAAAAATAAGAAAGGAATAACGTTTGAGTGGGGAAATGGAGGAAAGACTGAAAAAAAATTTAGTTATATGTGAAAAGGTAATACCAAACATTGTTCATCAATAACTATTAGACATTTAAAAAAAAACTTTTTAATGTAGTTATTCAGCATAGGTTTGCTTTTTATGCTGACAAAGGTATTCTTGCCAAAACATCAATTGTTTTCCGTCATGACCATGTTCTTATAAAGCTTACCAATTCTGCTGTATGTTTTGTCAGTTGACTCAATGTGTTTTACTGCAGTTAAACTTATTGCCCTGTGTGACCCTAGAATGCTCAACAGATGAAGATGATGAGACAGTGCAACAGCAAGTCATCGCTGGCATGGTTTATGTGTTACTTGTTGTTTCAATTATAATTTATTCCTTCTGTAGCTAACTGGTATTGTTATTATTTCATGGATAGATATCAAACGAAATGAAAGGTTAAACTGGCCAGTCTAACATTATCACATACACAACTGGCAAGTAAAAGATGCAGCTAGAAAACCTTCTTCAGCACATGACATCAATAGACAATGTTACATTTACAGACAAGAATACACAAAATCACTTATCTGAGGCCTATGCAAAAAAATCCAAATATCTTGTTTGGTCAGTTGAAGCTCTGAGACACGAGAGAATACAGGAAAAATAAAAATGTGGAAGGCAAAAGCCGTAAACTACTAAAAATTTTTTTACTGCTGTTATATTAACTTAGTGTATTTGTAGACGTTTCTAATTTAGGTAATGAATGTTTGAAAAGTTAACTGTCTGACTACCAAGAAATGCATCCTGCATTGATTTTTAACTAATTTAACTGTTTGATTTATAACTAAATTAATTGTCCTCGGGTACTGAAAGAGTAATAACTTTATGGGATAGAAGAAGTTAAAGAAACACTTGGGGCAGAGCGGAATTACATAACAGCTCGATAGGTCACAATAAATTCAGAACTGTATATCATGAGAAATGAAATCAACAAACGCTTAGTAATTTGATTGGTATCAAAAACAAAATGCTTTGGATGGCTTGTACACAAATATATGTTTATGCTCTTTGTAAACTGGGTTATTTTAATAAGGATAGTTAAATGTGATGCCAAATTTATAAACTGTTAATTATTAATTAAAACAAAACATAATGCCAAATCGGTTGTAAGTAAAGTCAGTAAAAGACCAGTCTCTTTTAAAAAATCAGTTACAATTTAATTTGACTGTAATGTTGTCTGATCCTGTTAAAAAATTTATCAAGTTAATGAATTGTTAATGAAATGCGTAAAAAAAAAAAAAGAAATGTGTAATCGAATTGACCTCTGTCTTCTGTTGTTCAGGAATCTCTGAACAAACTCATGAAGAACTTGTACAGCACCCACCCACATTTTGTGCGCTGTATTATTCCTAATGAGTTCAAGCAGCCAGGTAGGTTTTGTTCATGTGTGCCAGATTTTAAATGTAGTCTTCCTTTTTAAGTAAGACGAATTGCTTTAATTTCAACTGAAGTAATTTAGATTATATCATAATGTCTTTATTTTTTTCAAATTAAAATATCACACAGCTGGAGATAATTTTTTAAGGTACATGACTGGTTATACTTGCACACAAAGCTGAATGAAAAGCAAATATACCTTTGCATACAAAAAAAAAAAAAAAATTTGTATCTTAGTTTAGAAACAAGTTTAAAATGTAAGTATGTGTATTTTAATGTCATTGCAAATAGTTTGAAAATAATTTATCATATAAATGTACTTTTTACTTCCTGAAGTGAACATGAATAATGCAAACACAAACAATACATCATACAATTTATTTTGCTAGGTTATTTTGTTGCATAATAGTCGGTGTAGTAGTCTTTACAGCCTGATTCTTCTTCTTCTTCTTCTTCTTCGCGTTCACCAGCTGTACACTCTGGCGTAAAGTTCTGGTTGTTCGTCCACTTCTGGACTGCAGTCCTGCTCCAGAACTTGAGTGTTGCGTGTGCATCAGTTTTACAGATCTGATTCAATTGAATGTATTTTGCTCAGGCAGATGCACTCCGACTTCAAAGGAAGCTCCCCAGTTTGTCGACTCTTACGAATAGTCGGTATTCTTGTTTTTAATAGCCCCGATACAGCCTGATTGAATCAATAAGCTCTGAGACATCTCCTAAAAGAAAACATCTGTCTCATTTCTAAGGTGAGATTGACTCCCATCTGGTGTTACACCAGCTTCAGTGTAACGGTGTACTGGAGGGCATCCGTATCTGTCGTAAGGGATTCCCAAACAGGATCATCTACTCTGAATTCAAGCAACGGTAAGGGGTACTGCGCTTCCTGTACCAGAATCTTGTATTTTTTCTTTGTTTTTTACCCTGTTGATGTTGATATTCCTGATAAAGTGTTTGGATGTGCTATAATTCCCTCATTAACATGTTAAATCCTTGTATCTTACATAGTTTTTACATTAACCCACACTTTCCAAGTTAATAACAAAATTTTGGCTGATCAAGATAACCATTATTTGTTTTCATTCTATCACTGATCTTTAATATTTCAAATTCTTTAGGTACTCATATTTACTATTATACAGGAACAACTACTTGCAACAGAAACAAGTCTAAAAAACAAATGTATTGGATCCATGGAGCAGTCAGTAACACATGGCTGAAGGTGAAAAGTCAAATATTTTCCTGGTGTGTTAGGAAAAGAACAGGCAGAAGAATGACTGATTCTGCACCAGCTGGTAGTGCATTAATGCAGGACAGACTAGATTTTGTAAGGTTTCCATTGGGAGTGAATGAGCAGAGCAGATGCACAAATAGATCTTCATAGTCTGAGAAGAATGTTTCTCTGGAAGTGACCAGTGGGCCTGGCTGACATTTAAAACTCACGAAAGACAAGACAGATATAGTCAGACTGTTACTTCGAAACTGGCACTCTGCACTTGCTGCTGAAGATGGGGATGAAGCACTTCTGTTAATACCCCAGTGCTATGACGTTGTTTTCTTAATTCAGTGTAATTCATTATGATAGAATGTATTAAATATACTTTATTATGTAGATAATGGTACAGGAAACAGAGCTTTTTATGACATCCTTACTCTCACAGGTGATACATAGCTGGTGTAAACATTACAGATACCTGAAGTAATAACTTCTTTGAAGGCTGAACAAGTAGGGTATCGAGGATCTGCCTAGTTAGTCTGCCATCCAGTTTGAGATTCTTAAATTTCAGGATGGTACGGTAAACCTTTGGGGCTGTCTGATTGATCGATCAATGGTTAGTTGCGTTTCCTTCTACAGGACGTTGCAGAACCAACCCCAGCAGCCCCTGGCTGTTATGCGGTTTCTCTAGGCAAATTTACGTCCAGTAGTTTGCCATTGCTTCTGGGCGGTTGGCCCCTGATACCACTGTCAAAACCAACGCAAGGCGCATGGCTCACAGCTGGGATCGAACCCGGCACCCTGGCATTACGAAGCTTCGCATCAACTTAGCCACAGAGCCGACGATCGATCAATACAACATGTAATATTCACAGTTCTGTAAATATAGTTCTCTTGAAGTAGCAGCAATTAAATTCTTCCTGAAAACACTATTTCAAAACTGTTCAAAAGTCAATTAATTTGAACTTTTCCAGGTACTCCATCTTGGCCCCCAGTGCCATTCCTCAGGGATTTGTTGATGGCAAAAAAGTCACAGAGAACATTCTACTGGCTCTACAGCTGGACACTGCTGAGTACAGACTGGGAACAACCAAGGTCAGCTTGCACTTCTGGCAAATGTGTTTGTTTTGCTACAGACTGTATTACATGTCATGTAGTTATTTCTGTCTATATTGTCTCATAACAATGTGTGTTGTGCCTGTTTACAGCCTCGCTGCAACATTTGTACTTTTCAGCCGACAGATCTGACTTCATCAGGCATTTTTTCACCTGGCTAGCCTTCCCGAATTTATAAGTCATATCGTCTCTGTTTGTTATATTTTGCACTTAGCTGTTGTAATAAGGGTCCATGTTTGACAATGGTAGCAAAAACGTCGGCCAGAAATAGTTTTAATAAGATTTGCATTGGTAGACGAGGTTATCCTTTTATTTGTCAAAAGTGCTGTTAGTTATCCCAATACCTAATTTGCTTTTTCACATCCTATGTTGATTTCTCTATCTATTTTCCCTTTTGATGTAAAAATAGATCCCAGATAATTAGTTCTATACCAAGGAATGCACCATGAGTTGACCAAGACCTGATTTAACAGGCTTCTGGTATCAAAAGTAATGTATTTACTTCTCTTAAGTACATTCATTATTATGTATACAAATTATGTTTGTTGGTGCCTGCACATAACAGATGGAATTAAATTGTATCACTAATGTGGAGCTTTGGGAGAGAACTAAACAATTTCGAGTATACCAAGAGGTGAAGAAAAGACGCTGGCATTGGATAGTACACACACTGAGAAAACATAAGAACAATATAACTAGAATATTTTTGCACTGGATCCCACAGGGACATCTAAATAAAGAAAGACCCCAAAAAAAGCTAAGATGATAATAAATTCTTTGTCTCATTCATTGTTGTTTCCTAGGCTAAAGGTTGTACACATTTGATCTTGTTACAGGTGTCATTCATTGTTGTTTCCTAGGCTAAAGGTTGTACTCATTTGATCTGTTACAGGTGTCATTCATTGTTGTTTCCTAGGCTAAAGGTTGTACTCATTTGATCTGTTACAGGTGTCATTCATTGTTGTTTCCTAGGCTAAAGGTTGTACTCATTTGATCTTGTTACAGGTGTCATTCATTGTTGTTTCCTAGGCTAAAGGTTGTACTCATTTGATCTTGTTACAGGTGTCATTCATTGTTGTTTCCTAGGCTAAAGGTTATACACATTTGATCTGTTACAGGTGTCATTCATTGTTGTTTCCTAGGCTAAAGGTTGTACTTGTTACAGGTGTCATTCATTGTTGTTTCCTAGGCTAAAGGTTATACACATTTGATCTGTTACAGGTGTCATTCATTGTTGTTTCCTAGGCTAAAGGTTGCACACATTTGATCTGTTACAGGTGTCATTCATTGTTGTTTCCTAGGCTAAAGGTTGTACACATTTGATCTGTTACAGGTGTCATTCATTGTTGTTTCCTAGGCTAAAGGTTGTACACATTTGATCTGTTACAGGTGTCATTCATTGTTGTTTCCTAGGCTAAAGGTTGTACACATTTGATCTGTTACAGGTGTCATTCATTGTTGTTTCCTAGGCTAAAGGTTGTACACATTTGATCTTGTTACAGGTATTCTTCAAGGCTGGTGTCTTGGGTACCCTTGAGGACATGCGTGACGAGCGCCTCTCAAAGATCATCTCCATGTTCCAGGCCCACATTCGTGGCTACCTCATGAGAAAATCTTACAAGAAACTGCAGGACCAGAGGTTGGTTACTTCATGCAACATTCACCAACTTTCCATCCATGTTGACTATATTTAAACATTGTGTCTGGAGATTTCTAGCACCTGCCTCATCTTATTATAAATGGTGTGTTGTTCTAATACTAACGCTAAAGTTCTTGACTTATCATCGCTATCATCTGCCATGCCGATAAACATGGGCTATCACATTTCACCATCTAACATGATCACCAGAATACTGGATCAGGTCAGTGTTCTTGTCCCACCTCATCTATATGCTAAATCCTGCAGGTATTTATCTCTTTACCTTCCTCTAGTTCTTTTTTCATTGATGCCAGTCATTGAAGTTTGGTGCCGTCTCCACAATGGAGGTTAGCTAAATTGTATCATTGTTCTTTTTGGGAAAATTACATGGTGAGGCCCCAATCTCTTCCACCGTGCGACTCTCGTACCATTGTCCAAAAACCATGAGGATGGATTTTTAACCCTCCACCGAGGGAAACGAACAATCGTACTCATGGGTCCTGAAATTGTTATAAGTCTACCTATATGTTAATATTGCCCCCCACAATAAAAAAAATTATGTTCTAAAACTTGTATTTACAACAGTAACTCATCATGTGAGGAACAGTTTGTTGTTGTCTGTATCAACATTCTTGCACATCGGTCTGACCCATTCGTGCACCGTCCTCCGAAACAGCAGCCATGTCAGTATCTCCTTGCCCAAGGTACCCAGCAGGAGTTGATTGGCAGAGCCTCTTTGTTTGTCCGGCAAACAATTTCTGTATACTTATCCTCATTTAGGATCCATTTCCATCCGGAGGTTCTTTGTCTCTGACTCCTTTACCTCACAGTCTCTAGAACGCAGCACATTAGTATATATACCCACTCTGTCCAGACTTCTTCCTCCGCCAACCACCACAGACCTGGCCAGTCTGTCACCTCTTTCATTTCCTTTTACCCCAGTATGATACTGTTCAAATAATTGATTTGACTTACATACCAAATGAATAATCTGAACTATCCGTAAATTTTTGAGTGCATATATGACAGATGGAATTTCAGACATGCATGTAATGAACATCTTGGACTGACAAACCAACGATGATTGCCAGAAAAAATATTGGAACGAAGAACAAGTTAGGCAAGTGTAAAAAAACGTGTGCCAAGGTCAAATAGTTAGAATTTAGATACTAGAGAAATTCATGGACACTGAAAAGATCTCGTAGAAAAAGACAAACGAAAATGAATAAAAATGATGCAGGATTGGTTTTTTTAGTAGACATAAAATCAACTTAATTGACCCTGAAGACCAAGAACCGCAAGGAGATAAAATTACCTACAGTGTTTAGCAAGAAGCATGATAATATTTATGTTATTTCGTAACTGATAATTAAGCCATCTCATTAGAATGCAGCAAGATCAAACACCATCAGAAACAGTACATCTCAGAAAATTAGCTACAAGATCAAAAGGACGGCCACGAAAAATATACATCGACATTATTAAAGACACTCTACGCCTTCATTGCATGACAATAGCCGACAGTAAGCATGCACTGGGTGGCACATCATTCATCCCCACGATGCTTAACGGCAAAAGTTGTTTATGGCGATGATGATAATTAAACATTGCTATCTTGTCCTCAGAGTGGGCCTGAGTGTCATCCAGCGTAACATCAGAAGTTGTTTATGGCGATGATGATAATTAAACATTGCTATCTTGTCCTCAGAGTGGGTCTGAGTGTCATCCAGCGTAACATCAAAAGTTGTTTATGGCGATGATGATGATAATTAAACATTGCTATCTTGTCCTCAGAGTGGGTCTGAGTGTCATCCAGCGTAACATCAGAAAATGGCTGGGTCTGAAAAACTGGCTGTGGTGGAGACTCTACGTCAAGGTCAAACCTCTGCTGAACATCGCCCGCGCTGAGGACGACATGAAGAAGAAGGAAGAGGAGTTGGCCAAGACCAAGGCTGAGCTGGAGAAGACTGAGAAACTCCGCAAGGAGCTGGAGGAACAGAATGTTGGCCTCCTGCAAGTATGTATAGATAATGTTTAGTTACCGATCTGCATTTTTTTTTCTGGAAAGAAAATATAATTATTATTGTAAAGTTAAAAATTCAAGGGAAGATTAAACATTATTAAGAGAAGGAAGAGTTAAAATGTAGCTGTCAACAAGTAAATCATTAAAGAAAAATCAATAAATGATTTTTTCTGGCTCAAGTTTGTGTATTTAAAATACTGTAAGTTGAGAACGATGTGATGGGAGTTTACGCAGGTCTTTGTTTAGTTTGTTAAAGATAACGTTTGTTGCATATAAATCTCCATAAGGGCTCTAACCTCATTCTATTTAATATAAAAGACAAGCTCAGCACAGTGCACATACACTAGTATCAACAAGGCTGCAAATATTCACTCTTGCATGCTGGAGACTGTGAATGAAAAGAGAGTGACTGAAGGATATACAAAAATGACAATAAAATACTTTGACATAACTAAAAGACAACACTCTTTTAAAAACCATACTAGAGTGAAAGATCAAGGGCAAGTGAGCAAGCGGTAGACAATGAGACAACAATACAAATGGGAGGACAACACTGAGAGATGGATAAACAGCAGACTTAGAGAGGGTTCAACCAGGACAAGAGACAGGGCATGTTGGAGATTCATCGCAGCCAACCTTCAGTGCCATGATGGCACCTGCTTGCTTGAGAATGCTAGACATCCATTCCATTACCTTTGGATTTTTGAAGACTATATCATCCTTTTTGTGTGTGTGTAAAAATCTCTGAGAATAATACCCTCGAGATTCACCAGGTATGCTTGAGTCAATGACAGATGCCATAGCCACTAACTTACTCTGTGTGTCTACAAGTGCAGCAGTGAGATTACATCACTGAGTTGTCTGTTTTCAGGCCAAGAATGACTTGTACATCCAACTGCAAGCTGAGCAAGACAACCTGATTGATGCAGAGGAGAAGATCGAGAAGCTGATCTCCCAGAAGGTCGAGTATGAAGCTCAGATCAAGGAGATGGAAGAAAGACTTTTGGATGAGGAGGACGCAGCAGCTGAGCTGGAGGAGAAGAAGAAGAAGCTAGAGGCTGAAAACAAAACTCTGAAAGAAGACATTGAGGACTTAGAGAACTCTTTGGCAAAGGTAAATTGGCAATTTACATATTATCCTCGTCATCATCATCATCATCATCATCATCATCATCATTATCATCATCATCCTCCTCCATGTGATGTGCTGATAAGCGTAGGCTGTCATGTTTCCCCGTCCCACATGACTGTAAAATCATGAATTAGGTCTTTGTTCTTGTCTTGCCTCATCCGTACCTCCAAGCCATCCAGATATTTATCTCTTTGTCTTCATCTTGCTCTCTTTCCATCAATCTTGCCAGTTGTTACTCGAGTCCATTCCTCTTTACATTTCTGACAAACACAGACTGTCTACATTTATCTTTTCACATCAGTTTACAACTTTCTTCAGTTTTGAAGTGAACTGCCTAAATGTTTTTCTATCATTCTATTATATTCTATGCATTATTCTCGTAAACCACATATGCCAGCTTTTTTTTCTGCTGATTGTCCATTTCCCACATTACGTACATATTCTGTAGCTCTATGTATCCTGAAATCTCATGCTCTAATCGTTCAAGACTTTTTTCCCCCAACGCCAGCGGGTCTTGCTAGTCACACTGGCCATCGCCATGGGATGTGAGTCCCGCGAATCTTCAGAGCACATTATAACACTATCGTTTGGAAAGACGGAAACATGCCAGCTCTGTGTGCATTACATGCTTGGTTTGCCTGAGAGCCTTTGTCATTTAAAAAAAATGCACTCACTTGATGAAGATTCAATCAGTTTTACCACATGGAAGTTGAATATGTTGTTATACTGTTTTATAGTATCTTTTATTTTACATCTTTTAATTACCTGTTTCTCTAGCCTCAGTGTTAGGACTTCATATATCCTAGGCAACTACTTATTAGGTGCAAGGCCAGTTCCCGTCCTCATCACTTTTCCTTCCCAGACAATTCTGGAAATTTTACTCAGTCTTGGTTGGCATTACAGCTGTGCTGGTTGAAACAAATCATACTACTTCTGGGGGATTAAACCCAGACCATTGTCCTCCCAGGCAAGCTCTGTAACCACTATCCTATATTGGCATTTTTATTTTATTTTCGCCCAGATAATTAAAACAGATTTTGACTGAAATGATTTTTCGCCTTTCGCATCATGTTGTGCCAATTAAGTTTATAAAATATAGGTCTTGCCCAATGCGCCCAATTTACCAGAAGATGTAGAACAGGGTCCTTTAGTTTACTAACTGTATTTTTATAAGGCAATCAATACTTGATGGATAATATGGTCAGCATCATAGCCGCCACATTTACTTCACAGGAAATTACTTTGCACCTGCTTTGGGCTGGGTCAACCAGAGAGACAAGGTCAAGTTTTCAAACAGTGTTCCCCTATGAAGATTTGAATCCTTAATCAACAGCCATAATGCGACTGTTTAGTCGCTACACCACCCAGATATCTCTGCCTCACAAATATTATACATGACTAGCATTTGATACTGACACTTTCAATATTCACGTCAGGCTGAACAAGAAAAGCAGGCCAAAGATAACCAGATTAAAACCCTTCAAGATGAGATGGCAGCCCAAGATGAACAGCTGGCAAAGGTGAACAAGGAGAAGAAGCTCCTGGAGGAGCAGCAAAAGAAGACTCTTGCAGATCTGCAGGCTGAGGAAGACAAGGTCAACCACCTCAACAAACTGAAAACCAAGCTAGAACAGACGCTTGATGAGGTCAGTTAGGATTATTTTATTTGTTCATACATTTGGTTTTATTTTATTAATTTTACTTTAATAGCTTGTTTGGCAACATGTCTTATGAGAAATATAGATAATCTAAGCAGTATATCTATAAAAACAAATGTGGAATTATGTAAGAAGAGCAAACAAATAATTATAGCTGAAAAAATTATGCAAAATTAGGAATGGATGGATAAAGACATACACTTACGAAACAAAAAATATGCCTTGAAATAGAAGAGAACTTAGGAAGATGAAAGAGTGTTTCGATGTTAACTTCTTTTGAAAGAAATTAAATATGAATTGATGTTGAAGGAGGAAGGCAAATTATAGTAACCTTAGTAAAATTAAAATGGACAGTACAGACATAATAGCAGTGAAATGCAACTTTTGCTGACCTATGACCCCTGGAGAAATGAGGATGTCTATATAAGTAATTTATTTTGTGAGTTTTTCCTTTGTCTCACAGTGATCCTGCATCACTGTTCAAGTTCTTACATTTTTTTTTCTTATTTAACTGTGTTTGCAGCTTGAAGATAACCTTGAGCGTGAGAAAAAAGTACGTGCTGATGTTGAGAAAGCCAAACGCAAACTGGAGCAGGACTTGAAGAGCACCCAAGAAACTGTTGAAGACCTTGAGAAGTCCAAGAGAGATCTGGAGGAGACTCTCAGAAGGTGAGACTTTAGATCATGCTTCAGTTGAATTACAGACATAAATGGTCATAAATTACAGCTCTAACCAGTTTATTATGACACCCAGCCTGTCAGTGGAATGAAGGATTAGACTGCAAACCCTATGGGACACATAACACCATAACAGGATGATGATGATGATAAATACTCAAATATCAGTCTCCAGGAAACCATTGAACTCTGTGTCAATAAATAAATAGTTTTTGATCTACACTCATCGACATTGTGTTAGAGAAATATGAATAAAAATATTTTAAGAGAAACAGTCAGGTCATTTGTGCATGTCATAGAGAAATGTTGCCATTCAGAAGTGACAACAGCTGTTTCTCTCTTGCTGAAAGCTTATAGAGCTTGTAGTACTATGTTTTCTAGTGGATAAAAACTGCAGCACATAGAAATGAACCCTATTGTTTGAATGGATAAAATCAGGGATTGGTGATGAGTTGGTTACCTCTCTGGTGAAAAAAAAGGTAATAATCTTAGTGGTGGCATACTTGCAAAGTCTTCACACAGAGTGTTCTTGACATGGGTGATGAATCTGCCGTGTTACTACTGGGAATTACTGTGACTTTCTAGCAGTCTTGAAATAAGGTGAGTGTATACTCAGTGGTAGGATTAATCCCAATAAAGATCAAAATCAAGCCCTCATTCTTCAGTAAGACTTGTGGCTCTTTCTATTATCTCCTAGGGGAAACTATTTGAGTTATTGATTGTGAATTCACAGAATGTCTCTGGATTTTAATACTGATATCCAGTGAATTGATGTTCAGGTAGAATGAATTGTGAAAAATACTTGTCTGTGTTAAGTAAAGTTGTCGTGGAATCTTTCCTCCTGACCTGTACCACGGAGGACGCAAAGCTTTCTTTCCTCTCTCAAACTCAAATGACAGCTTGGTGTGCAATTTCTATGTGAAAACTCACATCTGCAGAGAGGTTCTTTAAAGAGGAGATATTTCATGGTCTCGGACAACGCGTCCTGCTCCTGGTTTTGTGACAACAGTAGCCTACAGCTGGGAAGAGGTGAGGACATATTTGAGAAGATATAACACCTAATCTGAGGGCACTAATGTGTAATGCAACTGTACTGATAAATGAATTGTCTCATTAGAGGTCAGGGGTTGCTCAAAGCGTCAATAAAGAAGGACACACTCCCACATTGATTTGCAATAAACTTGTAAATAATATTATTGCATCTTCAACAGGAAAGACTTGGAAATCAACAGCCTGTCATCCAAACTGGAGGATGAGCAGAACTTGGTTGCTCAACTGCAGAGAAAGATCAAGGAACTTCAGGTAACTTTATATTTACATTGCCATTTCCGCCGTCATGTTTTGACAATGCTATCAAATGAACTGTTTTTATTTTTTAAGATGATTTCTATGATTCCTACTTCATTTTTCTTATCTTGTTCCTCCATTGTTTGTGCGATCTCAGCAAAGTTTTTGTTCTGCGTGAATTTGAAGGTCTCTCTGAAATATGAGATTAAGTTTAAACTGAGACGTTATGTTACTAAAATCATAAAATATCATAGAAGTGACTTAATCACTTTATGTTAAAGCCAGGCACTGTGGAAAGATTTTTAGTGGTATTGACAAGGAATTTGTTTAGAAACTAATCAGGGGCTTTGGGATTACACAAAAGCTTATTATTATTATTATAATTAAAAAAAAAAAATGGCAACTATTAACCTCAGGATGCTGATGTATATCTTCAGGGCAGATTGTTATGTTATCACAGTTGACGTCACTGCACTTTGGGCATTCCCATATGTGTTCAGTCCTCTGTTGCCACTCCAGTATTCTTCTGTTGACTATTCCCATAAAAAGCTGATTTTAAGGTCTCCTATCCTGACCTTGAAGATGGTGCCAGCATACATACAGTAGGCTTCATTCTGAGTTCATGAAGTCTTGTTGACATCAGAGATTCATTACCGTCTGCCAGTCTAGTTCATATAACTTTGATGTTATCAGCTCTGTACACATGCAGTAGTGCAGTACTTGCCAGCTGATTTGCTTGTTTATGATCTTATGTTGTGAAATGCTCAGGTGTGTATTAAGGAGGGTGGGAAATCTCAGCACCTATGAATATGTCCGCAGTGCTATAACGTTAGGGAGTCCCCATGATGTTGTAGCTAGATGTTCACCTGCAGATCTGATGGTTCAAGGTTCAAATCTGGACGGGGGTTAGACTTTTCTTTTTTTTTAAATTATCTTGGCTCGTAGGTTGACTCAGTCTTCTATGGGGGACAGGTAAAAGTCCTGGAAAGTACAGGTGGCAGGCATGATGCTGACTACATCATACACTGAGTGCCGATTGGTCTATCAAATATAGGTCTAGCCCTATATGCCTATTATGCCTGAAGGTGTGAAAAAGGGTTCTTTTCATGAGGAGAACTCATTTCATAACTTATCAGTTCTAGTCTGATAAAAGCAAGATATAAATCTGCAAAATGAAAAATATTTGAAGAGATAAAATTAACAGACATGTACACTCTTTTGCAGGCCCGAATTGAAGAGCTCGAGGAGGAGCTTGAAGCTGAAAGACAAGCCAGAGCTAAGGTAAGTTCACGTCAGCCATTTATAAACAGTAACTTTAGCTGAAACCAAATGTTGATCTAATACAGAGACAGATAGATATACACATTTTTCAGTAAAACCATTTGCTGAGTTGATTACAGCCATGCATACACTTGCAGTGACTTTAATTAAATGGTATATTAAAATAATATTGAAAGAGATGAAAACAGTGCAATATAAAGACAGGTTAACTGCGGTAAAGCTATAAATAGGGGGGGGGGGGGGGGGGGGGGGGGCTAACCCTCATAGTATGTGTCAGTTTGACAGAACACAGAACAGTAAACAAATGTCATTGCAGCAACAAGATTTCATCAACCATAAACAAAACAAAACACACACAGTAAAGTGACACTGAAGTAGCTACATTATGTAATTCAAATATTATGTAAACAAATGGACTAAAACAACAATCTATGACGGAAGGTTATAAATTATGTGCTGCTGACATGGACCACTCAGAGTTTTATGGAAGCTTGTATAATGTCACATGGTCTGTCTCTGTCTCTGCCAATAATCTGTTAATTCCCAAAAATGTTCTTTAACCTCATTACAAGATGAAAGAACACTGTATCTTTCTTATAGTTGCATGTAATCGTTTGATTTCCCAAGTTTGTTTTCTGGCAATCACTGCTAGTTACTCTGGCTGTCTAGGATATTGCAGAATTTGTTATGCTGTCCTTTTATTCTTCTTCTGCAGTCACCTTTAAATAGGTGTTTGGCACATTGTATTGTGGTTTGCAGCAAGGGTACGATATATGCACATTTGTATCCAACACATCTAAAACATAAAACATTTAATTAGTCACATTTTATAACAAGCTTGTTAAGGGCAATGGTTCTATTCTTTTTCCCCTTTCTATGTATTCTAATATGTGAACATAATATTCGTTAAAGATAAAGTAAGACAAGCCTGTGTGCCCATTTTGTGGCACTTTGGAAATAAGGTTTGTTTGTTTGTTCTCCCACAGAATAGGGCGTGAGAACCCTCAGAGGGAGAGTAGGATTATAATATTTATCTAGTTTCTAAAATTCTTATCTCGCAAGTTTAATGTTATCCAGGTTTTCACTGGATTATTTTTCTGTTGTTTAAGTTTGAGAAACATACGATGCTTATAGAGGTTTTCACTGGATTATTTTCCTCTGTCTAGGTTGAGAAACAGCGAGCTGAGTTGTCCAGAGAGCTGGAAGAGCTTAGCGAACGTCTGGATGAAGCTGGTGGTGCCACAACTGCTCAGCTTGAGCTCAACAAGAAGCGCGAGCAAGAGCTGTTGAAGCTGCGCCGTGACCTTGAGGAGTCTGCCCTTCAGCATGAGGCTCAGATTGCTGCTCTGCGTAAGAAGCAACAGGATGCTGCAAATGAAATGGCTGACCAGATCGACCAACTCCAGAAGATCAAGACCAAGTAAGATGACACAGTTGTTGAGTTATTAGTTTTCTTTTTTGAATTACTCCCCCACCCCTTTTTGGGGTTGGGGGGGGGGGGAATTATTCCTATATTTATTCTGCCCTTCTGTACCATTGAAACATAGGTACATGCTCGTGTAGAATGAAGTACTTTACAGATTGTAGCTTCCATCACAGCCTGTCAGGAAGACTCTTGGCCATTGCTCCATACATTTTTATGCCCAAGTTATCTCTAGTGCTCCACCTAATATGAGCTTCTTCTTTTCTCTCAGGAACTGTACCTTTCATTTTTCCTTTTTGAAAACCACTGCTGTGTTCAACCTCTCCCTCGGGAACACTAAATTACTGGTTATGACCCCTTTGGAATTTTTGTATACATTCTGTAAAAAAAAAACACATAAAAAAACACACACTCAAATATGACCCCTTTTGAATTTTAGTCTAAAATCTTTAAAAATATATTTATCTACATTTGTAATTTTTGTGTGTGTTCTGAATATAAGAACAGGATACAACTTTAAATGGAAGAAATATATCCCCTGAAGCCTTAAAAGAAAAAAAAAAGGTGACTTATAGCTTGGCCCCGTGAGCTCAATCACTGAGGTTTGTGGGAAAATCAAAGGAAAACCCACCTAAATGCTAATGTTAGTTAATGTATTCATATCCTGACTTCCTACAGATTTGCACAGGCGTGATAACAGCCAATAGCATTAACTATGTGTCACATAAATAGATCCCTATTGACAAGTCAGAAAAATGACATTTATGGGGAATTTGAGACAACCAGAAGTGACTTTTTGCAATTTCTTGGGACAGAGGGGTTAATATGACAAATATATTTGAGCTTTGAAGGCAAATTGATTATTTGAATAGAAGTTATAACGGGTTGTTATGTAAGCAGAAAATAAAATTTGGCAATCATTATTTCAATTTCAGGGTTGAAAAGGAGAAGAGTCAACTGAAAGCTGAAATGGAAGACCTCCAGGCACAGTTTGAACACTCGAGCAAGAACAAGGTTAGTGAATGATGGCCTTAATGTTTAATCCTTGTTCACAGGCATGTTTAACGTGCATCTTTTAATACTGCTGTTATTACGGACCCTGAATACAGTCAAATGTTCATTTGCATGATAAACTGCCTTCTTCTTCTGCCTTTCTAGCCCCCAGTGAAGCATAGGCCCTCAACCAAACTCATGCCAAGTCGTTCTATCCTTTGCTATCGCATGGAGCTCTCCCCATGTCCTCCCCATCTTTCTAACTTCATTCTTCAGCTCCAGATCATGCAAGATAAATTAATTATACTAGATGCGAGATCACAACAGCTAGGTCTAACAATCCATAAAGGAAAGACAAAGATACTGAAAATAAATCAGGCAAATAGTAATGTGGTTTCTCTTAATGGCACCCCCCTCCAAGACGTGGAGTCGTACACCTATTTAGGCAGTAATGTAGATAAAGATGGAGGAACTGATAGAGATATTAAAATAAAAATACAAAAGGCAAGAGGAGCTTTCATAGCACTAGAGAATTAATTTAGATCAAAAGAAATTAAAAGAAATACTAAACTTAAAATTGTTTAATTCTAATGTCAAATCAGTAATTTTGTTTGGAGCGGAAACATAGAGAACAACTTAGTCGATTACTAATAAACTACAGACATTCATTTACTGGTGCCTGTGTGGAATAGAGGGAATTAAATGGTATGATAAAATCACTAATGTAGAGCTTTGGGAGAGAACTAAGCAAGCTCCAGTGGAAGCTCCGAGAGGTGAGAAAAGATGCTGGCGTTGGATAGGATACACACTGAAAAACCTGAGAACGATATAACTAGAACGTTTTTGCACTGAAACCCACATGAGCATTGGAATAAAGGAAGGCCAAAAAACACACAGAGAAGAGAGCAGGAGAATGAAGTTAGAAAGATGGGGAGGACATGGGAAGAGCTCCATGTAATAGCAAAGGATAGAATGACTTGGCGTGAGTTGGTTGAGGGCCTATGCTACAGTGGGGGCTAGAAAGGCAGAAGAAAAAGATAAAGCAAATAGCAAAAATGAACACACATTTGCAGACAAATGCAAGAGAAATTAATGAGCCATAACTGGGATGAATTCAAGAAAGAAAAATCAATGGGAGAAATGTTTCCACAACCGCTGGTATCAACAGTTATAAGACAAAGCACATTGTGCTATATTGGACACATCCCGAGAAGAAGCCAGCAGAGACTCCACCAGACAGGCACTAAAATGGGAAACAGATAGACTGAGAAAACAAAAGAAATTCTAGAATGAAAATTGTTAAGAGAAGCCAAAGGTGCTGACCCGATTCCATCCATGATATAGAAAGGACTCAATAGTATAGTAGAACAGAATGAAGAGCTAGACAGCATGCATTGTGTGATATATAATGACATAGCAATATGATGACAAACAGAAAGAGTTAAAGAAACCATTTGGACAGGTTGCGTTAATGTAATATCAGTCAAAGACAAGTTAACAAACTTATATGTGGAGTCGATCAACATTTTCTGAGCAGCTTGGCAGATGATTAGTTAACGTGTTCGACAATACCTCTTGAAGTGGGGACATTCTCTTGTCTGTGTTCTACATGCTTATTAAAACAAACACAAATTTGAATGGTATTTGTATCTGTTATAAAGTGAAGCTGTTGCTTTCACGTATAAGTGGGAGTGAAGATCTATAAACTGTTATTATTTCAGTGTACTGCTCGAGGTAAAGTTCTATAAACATTATTTTTTCAAGTGTATTACTGGAAGCAAAGATCTATAGACTATTATTTTTCCAGTGTGTCACCAGAGGGAACCATTATTATTTTAGCATTATTATTTTAGCTTTATACTAATCAAGTGTGTCACTGGAAACGAAGATCTATAGATATTATTATTCCAGTGTGTCACCAGATTTGAAGATCTATAAATTATTATTATTTTAGTGTATTACTAGAAGCTAAATGCTGTAAACTATGATCGTCTTATGCTTTAAAAGGGCATGTCAGAGAAGCTGAGCAAACAAGTTGAGGCTCAGATTGCTGAGCTGAATGCGAAGTTGGAGGCTGCCAACCGCCAGATCCAGGAGCTACAGGGACAGAAGAACCGCAGCGCCCAGGAGGCTTCAGACCTCACAAGGCAGCTAGAAGAGGCGGAACACCGTGTGGGAGCTCTCACCAAGGAAAGGAACACCCTTGCTGTCCAACTAGAGGAAGCCAAGAGAGCTCTGGAAGATGAGACTCGCGTAAGTGGATTTATAATCCTTCTTCTTCTTGATAATTGGCTGTAAATTCTGGTAGAAAGTTATGGTTGTTCATTCACTTCTGGACTTTACTCTTGTTCCAGAACTTGAGTTTTATATGCACATATGTTCACATGTTTTACAGATCTGGCTTATTTGTATGTGGGCCGTTCGTTCCTTGCCTCTCAGGTAGATGTACTCCGACTTCAAAGAAAACAATCCTAATTAGGTGACTTTTTTGACATGCATGATGGGAAAGGGGGTGGTGTCTATTATTTTTTTTCTCCACAATGGGAACCTGAAACTCACACAGGGATATTGATTCAAATCAAATGTTGTTAATTTTTGTTTAATGCAAACATTCTAGCATCCAGATGTGTAAATATGGTACTCTTCTATCACGATTTTTCTTAATGCTCAGTGGTAAAAGCAAAAAGATAAGATGCTCACTCAAATCCAGTTGTTAGAAGGAAGTTACTGCACTTTGCAGTTACTCTTTTGCTTATACAAAAGTATCGATCACAGTGTCAATCAGAATCTCACAAGTGTAGTGACTACTTCATAATCTTTTTCTTGATCTACCTTTCATCATCCAGTGATGCTGGGCCCTTGACTAACTCATGCAAGTTTCCTTGTTTATCAGTAAGAGGAAGTAAGTTTAGTGAATTGACTGATACATGCTGTCGAAGATCGCAGATTGTGAAGAAGCATGATCACCCATGCCAGATGACAAAGCACTTGATGATGATGAAGTATATTGAACAGGACATTTGTTATACTGGTCCAGGGTTTATATTCTCTCCAAGTGTGATTATTTTGTGAATAAACGGCAACAGAGTCAACTTAGGCTACTAAAGTTTCTCCGAGGTAATGTTGCTCAAAGGATCCCCAATACAAGCTGAAAACCACCTCGCCCATCTAATATTTTTTAAGACAATATAGGCCAAACATCTTATTGCCTGGATGGCCTGTGTCAGAGTACTTTTATTTCTTTTTTGTATTATGTAAATTTAATGAGTGCAAAATCATATAATTCCACAACACTGATAGCAGTATCTGCAAGGGAATTGTTGTTACAGTTTGCTGTTATTTACAAAATTGAGGATATATTAAAAAAAAACACACACAACATAGTAAAAACAAGGGATAAGTTCTAGTTGTGAATAATAAAACCAAATATAACGTTTACACTCAACAGGCTCGCCAGAAGCTTGCCTCTGATGCTCGTAACCTACAGTCAGAGGTTGATACTCTCCGTGAACAACTGGAGGAGGAGCAGGAAGGCCGAGCTGAGCTCCAGAGACAAGTGAGCAAAGCCAACAGTGAAGCCCAGTTGTGGCGCTCCAAGTACGAGTCTGAGGGAACCTCCAGGGCTGAAGAACTGGAAGAGTCCAAGTAAGTCCAGCTCACATCAGCCTTTGTGGGGTTGACGATATAGTTCACTTAACACAACTTGTTCATAGCGGTCATACAACATTAATGGTACAATATAAGCAAGTTATAAGTGTATAATAATTCTTCTTCTACATTTTCTACCCTTTATCTTCAACAGAACATAGGCCCTCAGACAACTCCTGCCAAGTCAAAAGTTTTTTTTTTTAGTGTGTGTATCACCACATATCTTCATCAACTTTTTTGGATCATTCTAATTCTGTCTCCATATGATTATTTTTTTGTTTTGTTTGGGGGTCTATCTTTATGTGTATAATCATTATTCAAAAAGCCACCACATGAGTTATCACTGATTATGAGAATAGAAATACAAGAATGGAACCTGACCTATTTATTGTAATAAATCAGTAATTTGGTTGCTTACCTACTGGACAGAAACTAACAGGGATTTGGTTAGTTTGGAGCTATTTTGAAGCTTCCATACATGATGCACAGTGCAGAGAGTTGAATGTTACAGAGACTGTTAACTTAAAGTTAAACCATGACAAAGACTATTTAGTAAGAGTTAAAAATGATGTCAGAGTTTTAGTTTGATAATATTTTTCTACCTCCCATTTTGTATCACAGGCGCAAGCTGCAGGCTAAACTCAACGAGGCTGAACAAGCTGCTGAGGCTGCTAACCTGAAGGTTCAAGCCTTGGAGAAAGCCAAGAGCAGGCTGCAGGGAGAACTTGAGGATCTAATGGTAGATGTTGAGCGTGTAAGTATCTGTATATAGTTGTAAAGTTTTCTTCCATACAGTAAGACAAGAGTTCAGCATTGCAAGGTGCGACATGGACTATCTTGTTCCTTTTCACCCTACTATAATTTCAATGTTAGGGTCTGATACTCAATGACTCAAAAAGCCACTTTTTGGATGCCGGTCCAAAAAAAACAGGTACCTGATACCATGTCCAATATCACACAGTTATATTCTTTTTCTTCTTCTGCCTTCTATTCCCCAATAGACCAGAGGCCCTCAACTAACTCATGCAATGCCAAGTCTTTCAATCCTTCGCTGTTGCCTGCAGCTCACCCCATGTCCTTCTCATCTTTATTCTGCAAATTTTTCTATGTGAAAGGAGATTTATTAGAAGAGCCTCTCCTCATCTTGGTTGGCTGAGAATTTCTTGTTTTTTTTTTTTTTTTGACTTTTCCATGGTTGGTTAGTTTTTATGGCTATTGTTTTTACAGGATGAGGTAGCCAAGCCCAACCCTACGCTTAGTCACCTCTTACGACAAACCTGGTAGGGTACAATGTTACTACTCTTGCTTCCTGTGATACACGGGCAAAAACAGTTACATTGGAGCAGTTAAATTATTGTAAGTTACAAAATAACCTGCTCTTTTATGTGGGTAGGGGCTGATAAATACACGCAGATATGTTTTATTTTTATGTATGTCAATTATGAAAGTCTGATGTATTTATTATCCCTTGTCTAATTATTTCTTTCAGGCAAATGCTAATGCCAACAACCTTGAGAAGAAGCAGCGAGCTTTTGATAAGACAATCGCTGAGTGGCAGGCCAAGTGTAACGACCTTCAGAGTGAACTTGAGAATGCTCAGAAGGAGGCCAGAGGTTACTCTGCTGAGTTGTTCAGGCTGAAGGCTCAGCTGGAAGAGGCTAATGACACCGCTGAAGCCTTGCGCCGCGAGAACAAGAACTTGGCTGGTCAGTGTAAACGATTGTCGATAAATTAAAAAATGGATACTATTTATCATGTCATTACTTTAAGTACTTAAAAAAAAAAAGATACCATAAAAAAAATATCCTTACTAATTCAATGACTCTCACACAGTGATTTTATGAAAAAGTTAAGTTTGATGTCATTAGTTTGTTTTTGTGCTGTCATCACGTATTTCACATTTGCCTTGATTCTGTATTAAAAGTGGGCTTTCTAACTCACATTGTGGATAAATGGTCAGACAGAAAATAATTACATAGTAAGACAAGATATCAGAGTGGATGAAGAAATTAACATCTAATACAGTAAAATATATCAAGTATTGAGACAGATAGCCCCCTCTTACACATAGGGCAATCCCAGTTAGCACAGAGAACCATTTAGTAACCATAGACATGGTTGTATATAATCATGGAAATGCTTATAGCTCTCTCAACAGCAGAAGTGGTAAAATAGGAAGTGCAGAAGAAGAAGTATAAGAAGCTATCTTAGATACTTAAAGTTATCTACACAGATTCTAAAATCGCATCTCTTCAAAAACAGAAACACTTTCACTACATATTATGTTATGTGACAGTTTCACAATCAACCTCACTGCATATTGGCCATTTGCATGTGTGCTCAGTTCTCTAATGCAGTAGCCACGCCAAGGTACATCCACTTATTCTTCCCCTAAGAATTTATTGTAGTGTCTGCTGTCTTGATCTTGAAGATGGCATAGTCATGCTTCACTAGGCTTTATCTACTCAATAGAACATAGACCTCCAATGCAGCGGCTGTTCCAAGGTGCAATTCACTTATTCTCCCCATAAGAATTTTATTGTAATGTCTTCTGTCTTGATCTTGAAGATGGCTTTATCTTCTGATGTTAGCATTAGAGCCAAACAAAATCTGCGTAGTTTAAAAACGTCCACATAATTTCTGTCTTAACATATGAGGAGTCACACAGAAAAAAAAAAACTATGTTCATAACTGAGTATTCATACAGAAAAACTCATGATAACTGGTAAATATATACACAGAAGTTACGTTAGCATTTGAGATTATATATATAAATCTGTATTTAATATCTGAGGATGTGCATAGAAGAATTATGTTAACATCCGAGTATGAACACAGACCATGTCGTGTTAATGTCTGAAGATAGACATAAAATCAATCAGGTTAACATTAGACGATAAGCAGGAAATAAGAATGTCATTTCGGTACATTTTCTCCCCAGATGAGATTCATGATCTGACAGACCAGTTGGGCGAGGGAGGCCGCAGCACGCATGAGTTAGACAAAGCTCGCAGACGTCTAGAGCTGGAGAAGGAAGAACTCCAGGCTGCATTAGAAGAGGCAGAGTCTGCTCTAGAACAAGAGGAAGCCAAGGTCATGCGGGCTCAACTGGAGCTCTCCTCGGTCAGGTCTGAGATTGATCGTCGTATTCAAGAGAAGGAGGAGGAATTTGAAAACACTCGGTAAGATTAAAGCAGTTAAACTCTTGTAGTATTTTGTTTTTATTCTCTCTTGTTCCTGAAGGCTTTAAAGCAGACACCGAAGAAGGGAAACTACCAGAACAAGACACAATCGACTGAGCAGCCATATCATCATCATCATGTGCCCTGTCAACTGGCGTAGGCGCTCATGTGTCTCCATAGATCATGATCCCTGGTTACCTGGAACAGCTCTCTTGATGATATCCCTCCATGCCATCGTTTCAGCCCATCCAGCATCCATCGCTGCCACATGTACACAAGATTTTTAATCGGCGAATCAGTCATGTGCACCTGAGACAACAGGTCATGTCCCCCAAGACTGTACCAAATACAACACATCAAGGCAAAACTTTAGGCCAAGACAAACGTCGGTGCAGGTCAAACTTTACGGGTCGCTGAGTGAATTACCAAGACAGTGAAGTTCTAGAGACAACAATGCAGATATAGATAATCTATTTCAAGCGAACGAAAGAAGAAGAAGAAGAAGAAGAAGAAGGAGACTATCCCTTTGAGAAATAATGAGTTGAGTTTTTTAAAGGGGCACCATTTATAGAATAAGTGGGTTTTGGGGCAGCCAGAATGTCAGTATGCTCTGGCCAAATTAGCAACCCCCCCCCCCCCCCACTAAATTAGGTTATGTGGTCAACATCACACATGATAATTATGGTAGTTAGTGTAAATTAAATATGTACATATGTACCTAGTAACTCAGTTTATCTTATGCCTGTGTTGTTTAATTTTCTATTTGATACTAGCCGTAATCACCAGAGAGCTATCGAGTCCATGCAAGCCAGTCTTGAGGCTGAGGCTAAGGGCAAGGCTGAGGCTCTGCGCATCAAGAAGAAACTGGAGCAGGATATTAATGAGCTGGAGGTTGCTCTCGACCAGGCCAACAGGGGCAAAGCTGAACTGGAGAAGAATGTCAAGAAATATCAGCAGACAGTCAGGGTATGTAAGCCTATAGTACATGTGTTTTGTTATCAGAGTTATAGAACCTTTAACTACTTCGTAGTACACTGCAAGCCGATTCAACGGTCTACAACTGAATCCTCTGAAGAAATAGAACCTTTGATCCAGCTACTTCTGCTCTGAGAATGATCCAACTACTTCTGCTCTGAGAATTATCCAACTACTTCTGCTCTGAGAATGATCCAACTACTTCTGCTCTGAGAATGATCCAACTACTTCTGCTCTGAGAATGATCCAACCACTTCTGCTCTGAAATGATCAAACTACTTCTGTTCTGAGAATGATCAAGCTACTTCTGCTCTGAGAATGATCCAACTACTTCTGCTCTGAGAATGATAAAGCTACTTTTGCTCTGAGAATGATAAAGCTACTTCTGCTCTGAGAATGATCCAGCTTTTTCTGCTCTGTGAATGATCCAGCATCCAGGACTTGGTTTCTGAGATTTTGAAAAAAACACATCATAGCTGACAATCTTCACACCAGTCTTCCTTAGCTGAACTTACATTATATACATAAAATAATTTTAAAAAATATCTTTAATGACTGAATTTATAGCTTTTTAGGGTGGTATAGAGGGTCTAGCTTGATGATTTAGGGCTGTATCGCTACTGCAGTCACTGGAAATCCTAGTTAATGCAATTCGCAGCTATTATTAAAAAAAAAAAAAAAAACATCGGCATGATATACAATAATGGGCTGGACATTAAAAGATGCACAGTTTAAATTCTTGTGTCCCGAGATGCCAATAATCTGGCTTTGTCGTCCATTATAATCCGTATAAAGATGTTAAACCGTTATAGCTGCATTGTCCAGTCCCAACAAGCTTAGTTAATGGCATTGGTTCTCTTTGAGCCTGTACAATGTTTAGGTGGACTGGGTATGATTATATTTAGTAAACATAGCTTTGGTGGAGAGGGGGATGTTTGTAGTCACTGTGACATCATAACTATGAGGCCCCATATACATTTTTTTAAATTAAAGGTCCAAGGAAATGTATTTGCTTTAATTCTCCATCATGTTCATATTTATAGAAATAAGTTTTTAAAACATTTCTTAGTGACCTCTGTACAATTTTTTATATAAAGGATTTCCCCCCAGAAATTCCTGGAATCTGGACCTCATTTCCCAAGAATTTCTGAGAATGTTACAAGACTTGAAGCATTTTTTACACTTTGTCTTCTGAATAAATTTACTTGCTGTTAGCAAATAACAGAACAGTGTTATTGTTATGTCTGCTGCCATGTGAATTTTGACGCTGTCTACAACCAGAATAACGTTTCTGTCTCACAGGAACTGCAAACGCAACTTGAAGATGAGCAAAGACAGAGAGAGGAAGCCCGGGAGGCTTACAATGCAGCTGAACGCCGAGCTACACTTCTCAGTGGTGAGATTGAAGAGTTAAGGACTGCACTGGAGCAGGTGAATACATTGTCTCCAGCATTGTGCATACTGATTTGATTGTATTCCAAATGTTGCTTTTTATGTTTTGCAAATATTCTTTTTTTTTGGTTTCCCCCCCAAAATTATTATATTTTTTTGGGTGACTGTTTTTAGTAACAGTAAAACTTAATCATCTGCGTCTGTGGCTTAGGCAATGCGAACGTGCTTCACAATGTTGAAGTGCCTGGTTCGATCACTGCTGTGGATGGTTTGTCTTGCTATGGTTTCGACTGTGGTACCGAGAGCCGACCGTCCAGAAAGCAATGGCTAACTACTGGACGTTAATTTGCCTAGACAAACCACAACAGCCAGAAAGTGCTGGGGCTGGTTCTGCAACGTCCTGTAAAGGATACGCAACTAACTTTTATAACTTAATCATTCATGCCATTTTCTTTTCTTTTATTTGCTTGCTTTGTTTTCCATTTTAGCAATAAATTTCTTTTTTTTTTCATCTTCTTCTTCTTCTTCTTCTTCTTCTTCTTCTTCTTCTTCTTCTTCTTCTTCTTCTTCTTCTTCTTCTTCTTCTTCTTCTTCTTCTTCTTCTTCTTCTTCTTTTCCTTTGTGTTCAGTCGTTGAAATTCCAGCAAAAGTTTTTGGCTGTTTGTCCATTCTGTACTGAAGTCTTTTTCCAGATTTTGAGTTTTGTGTACACATCTGTTTTACATATCTTATATTACACTTTTTTTTCTGTCAAACTTACAACATCATTATGTGTATTTTTTCTCCTGTTTACTAAATACTATATCATAATTTTAATTCTTAGCTGACTTTTGATACTCATCCCCATACCAACCATTTTGGTCGCCTCTTAACACATTTTTTTTTAGGTTACTGTGTAACTAACTGTTCATTGCTTTCTTAATTAATACACCTCAGTAATCATGTATGCATATAAAATATCAACATGAAGTGAATTATGCAAGTTCTGAACTTTACATACTAATTTATAGTGATGCACCTGATGGGGTACAGCAAAATATGCCAGGCGATAAATTGCACAGAAACTCGTTAATGTGGTTTATGCATTTCAGCAAAAGAATTAATTTTGTGCTTTATTATACTAATTAATGTCCATCTTGTGATCTTGTGCAGGCTGAAAGAGCACGCAAGGGAGCTGAGAATGAACTGAATGACGCTAATGACCGAGTGAACGAGCTGTCCGCCCAGAACACTTCTCTTCAAGGACAGAAGAGGAAGTTGGAGAGTGATGTTCAAGCCATGCAGACAGATCTGGATGAGCTCAGCAATGAACTTCGAGGCTCAGAAGAAAGGGCTAAGAAAGCTTTGGCAGATGCTGCCCGTCTGGCTGATGAACTTCGTCAAGAGCAAGAGCACAGGTATCAATGTTCATTGTTTCCTGCCAGTTTTTTTTTTAGCTCATTATTTCTCATTTTACTCATAGTGTGATGAAATACTACTTTCTGATGATGACAGATTACTATCTGTTGATAATAGATTACTTCCTGCCTTACCAGTAAACATTCCTCTATTCCATTTATCTATTAACAAGTAAAGCACATTGGGTTCAGACATGTACGACAGGCCTCATTTATCTGACTCAGATCTCTGATCTACCATGATGGTACTTGGCTCGCTGTACATGCCGGTAATAGGCAATCTATCAAAAACACATTAAGTTGAACACTGCCTTCCCAACCAACATGAAATAAGAGTTATCTAATAAGGGACTTCTGTTGAAGTCACACTACATCTGCCTGAGGGGCAAGGAACCAACAGTCTGCATACACATAAATCAGATCTGTGAAACAGATGTGCAGGGAGAGTCAGATTTTGAAACACAACAAAAGTTTAACAGCCAGAACTTTCTGCTAGAGTTTACAGCTGATGAACACAAAGTAGAAGAGAAAGATCACCCATTTGTTTATTAACGTTTGTTAATTTGTCCATTTAGTCACTTCTTCCTTTGTTAACATCACATTATATTCATTGTTTCCCATCGATGTCAGCTTTGATCACATCCGATCTGACTGCAGCCAATAGTAACCTGACTCTTGTTTTTCCTTCACAGTTTGCAGGTGGAGAAGCTGAGGAAAGCCTTGGAGGCTCAGTTGAAGGACTTGCAGGTGCGTCTGGATGAGGCTGAAGCCCAGGCTCTCAAGGGAGGCAAGAAGTTGATCCAGAAACTTGAACAGAGAGTAAGTTACCTTGCTTACTCCATCATGACCCCAGTCTTCTACCTAACAAGCTGCTGTAACCAAACTTCTTGTAGTTTTCCTTATAAAACTGTCAAATGAGTGGATTTTGGAAGGATCAGATGTCGTGGTTCAATCTGTTACCTTTGTGCTGGTCACCCCTTGTCCCTCTTTCAGAAATCACATTATTATTCCAATGCTACAGCAGTATCTAATATCGTTGTAGCATTTCAGATTTCAAGTCATGATTTTTTCTTCTTTTTTAGTATCCAGAAGCCATAAGTTGTTAACCCTTAGGCTCGGTATTATGGATATCGCAACCCTTCGGCCTTGATTCCATTTTAAATACCGTAAATCTGGGAGAAATGTGGCTTTTCTGCCTACCCCCGGGCGTGAACCCGGAACACAAGGAGTTCGTCACCCGATCACCGCACAATCCGGTTTAGCCGGGCTCAAGTCATGATAGAACGAATGAAAGAATGAATGAATCAAGAACTGACATCACTGCACTCAGGACATTCCCACAAGTGCTCCGTCACCTTCATTAGTAGCCAACCAAGATTAAAAGCCTACCTCTCCCCCCTCCCCGCCCCCATTGAATTAGTCTTTTGATGTTTAATTTCTCTGTCTTGTGTTACACTGCCCATTTGACCCCAGAGAGATGTGATAGTCTATGTGCCATTAAATAACTTTTAGTAATTGGCAAACATAAATTTCCAGTTGGAAAAGAGAAAAGAAAACTCTCTATACCCCAAATATAACCCCAGTAAATTGAACCGGATATCATTGTTTCTCCTTCTTTTTTAGCTTCACCGTTTGTAAACTCCAGCATAAATGTCTGGTTGTTCATCCACTCCTGAACATTGGTTTTGACTGATCCAGAACTTGAGTTTTGAGTGCACATCTGTCTTACATGTGTAGTTTTTTTTGGCAGACTGTTGGTTCTTTGCTTCTCAGACAGATGCACTCTGACTTTGAAAGAAAAGCTCCTTATTAGTCGCCTCCTACAAAATTTTTGTAAGGAGAGTGACGAGTCTATTCTTTTTTCTCCAAAATAGAGACCTGAAGCCCACACCGAGAATATCTGTTTAAATTACTACTAATTTTAAGACATGGGGCTGTTGATAAGCCATACTACTAATTTTAAGACATGGTGCTGTTGATAAGCCATACTACTAATTTTAAGACATGGGGCTGTTGATAAGCCATACTACTAATTTTAAGACATGGGGCTGTTGATAAGCCATACTACTAATTTTAAGACATGGGGCTGTTGATATGCCAGGTGATCTTGATGTCCAGAACTTGCTATAAAGAATTTATATCATTGTACTACTCTCAGAATGTATTTCTTGATAAAACATATTGCAGGAAAATAGGAAACAAACACATTTGAATTTATAAAAATCAGTTATTAAAAAATAACAGTGACATAAATTACTGTTTTGGAAAAAAACAGTTGTTTTAAGAAACACTGAGAAAAATTTTAAACCAAAGAAAAAATTGTTTTGCATAAAGTAGATAAACATTGTTTATGAAAATTTCAGAGTATTTCTTTTTTTTAAATGATAAAACATAACTGATAACTTATTCAGGTGAGAGAACTGGAAACAGAGCTGGACAATGAACAGCGCCGCCATGCAGAGACTCAGAAGAACATGCGAAAAGCAGATCGTCGTCTCAAGGAGTTGGCTTTCCAGTCAGAAGAAGATCGTAAAAATCAGGAACGTCTACAGGAACTGGTAGACAAACTTCAGAACAAGATCAAGACCTACAAGAGACAAGTGGAAGAGGCTGTGAGTAGTGCTGGCTTGATTTGCCTTTTTGTTGTTCATTAACTTATTTACGAACAATTATCAGCATCATCATCCTTTTGTCTTGTGTCACATAGGGCTCGCAATTGGTCATCAGGTCAGTTCAATCCTGGTCAATTCTCTTGATATCTTGGAATAAGTCTAGTCAAGCACATGCTATCCTTTGCTGCTGCATGCAACAGCAAAGGATAGCATGTCTTGATGTGAGTAGGTTGAGGACCTATGCTTCATTGGGGGAGGGCAGACAAAAGAAGAAGAAGAACCAACAGAAGAATTTTTATCTCCAGCTTTGACTGTCTTGCCGTATTTTCAGTATCTCGGTTTTAGTTCAGCTGTGTGCAGTTTAATTTAAGTTTATGTTTTACCTAGACTAACTGTTTGGATTTTTGTTTTTTGATTTTGTTTTGTTTTTGTTCATCCCTCGACCCATTATGGTATTGTTGGAAGCACTAGCACATAATCCCACCATCTGTCTCTTGTCTTCAGCTTGTTGGGGCTGCGTGGTCTTGAGGCATGGCCTATACTTGGAATGCTGGAGTCCTGGGTTCGGCCCAGACTTCTAGTAATTTCCCCTGGTCTCTGGGCAGTGAGATCGGATGCCATTGAGTATTGTTGCGCATGTAAAAAGTCCCTTGGCAGTTACAAATCGAAAAAAGTAGCCTAACGGCTCTGCCCAGGCAAAATATGGAGTCAAAAATCTATCCAAAGTGTTTCCAGATCCTCGCCGCTGCTACAGAGCTCATGCACTGCGCTGAGATTTTTGGACTCAGGCTTAAGTTAGAAGTAGAACGGAGCACTCATGAGTTACAACCCTTGTGCCATGATGTTGATCCGTTGTTTAAATCAAATCAAATCAGCTTGTTAAACAAGTTTATAATAATTTAGTCCTGTCCACTTCTTGATGTTGTCATTCTGGGTTCTTCCCCCCCCCCCCCCCCCCCAGACACTTCTTAGTCTAACCCCCCTTTCCCCACTGTTCTTTGAAGTATTTTCTTTGCCATCGAATCATGTCTCTTTTTGTAACTGAACAAAACTAGCTTGTGAGATTTCACCACTGCCAGAAAAGGATCCTGATGTTCTGCAAATTCGTTTATTTGTCTCTTTTCCACAATAATGGCCTGTGCTGTGAAATATTTCATCTTGTCTGCAGGAGGAAATCGCTGCCCTCAATCTGGCTAAATACCGCAAGGTACAGAGTGAGCTGGAAGATGCTGAAGAACGAGCTGATACTGCCGAGGGTTCTCTCTCTAAGATGAGGGCTAAGAACAGAAGCTCTGTGTCTACAGCACGCACTAGTGCCACGCCAGGGGTAAGAAGGATGTCATATTTCTCAACTTGTTTTGATATGGAAAGATGTTAGTTAATTCGTGTATTGTCATTCCTCTTCTACACTAAAGTGCAAAGTTTTTATGTCAAGTTACAATTGATATCATTGTCACTATAATTCTGCTTTGACTCTTTTAATATTAGATTTGGCAGTAGTTGTCCATTAATGACATACACAATAAACCCAAAAGACTTAAACATGGGTGGATTCAGTTTTAAAGGTCCTTTACGTTTTTCACAAAGGAAAGAAAGAGAGATTTAGAACGAAGGAAAGGACAAAACTTTATTTTCAAAGGGTTAAGAAATGGGCACACAGGCCCACCTTACATTTTGCCCTTCTGACCTCACTCAGTGCAAAGATTATTTACAGACAGATAGACAGGCAGACAGAGAGAGAGAGAGAGAGAGAGAGAGAGAGAGAGAGAGAGAGAGAGAGAGAGAGATAGATAGATAGAGAGAGAGAGAGAGAGTAAGATAGATAGAGAGAGAGAGAGAGAGAGAGAGGGACAGGCAAACATTAACTCCCAGTTGCCCATGTCAACAGTTTGCTGGTCCCAGTTCTGTAGCAAGAGGCGCTAGCCTGGACAGATCCGGACGTGCTGGCTCCCACTCGTAAACTCTGGTGCAACCTATAGTCTTCAATCAAATACTTGCCAGGTAAGACAAACCAAAATCTCATGTCAGGTAGGCTGTAGATGGACAAATATTATGTAGATGACATACTTTGTGTTTTAAATCTGGTACTTGGTACTGCATGCCCTATATTCAGTGTAATGATATAATATATATATATATTTATATTGCTAGCGTCTGTGGCTAAAAACATTGCAAACATGGCTCGTAATTCTGAGATATGCAGCAGTTAGACAGTAGACCACTTTGCACTGATTTCGACATTGGTATCAAGGGCCACCACTCATAAAGCATTTCTGACTGCTGAATGTAAAACAAATTGCCCTGATAAAAAAAAAAAAAAAATGCTAGGTTTGGTTCTGAAAGCTGGGGTTGGCTCTGAAATCTGGGGTTGGTTCTGAAAGCTGCGTTTGAAAGCTGGGGTTGGTTCTAAAAGCTTGGGTTAATTCTGAAAGCTGGGGTTGTTTCTGAAAGCTGGGGTTGGGTCTGAAAGCTGCAGTTATGTCTGAAAGCTGGGGTTGGTTCTAAAAGCTGGGGTTGGCTCTGAAAGCTGGGGTTGTTTCTGAAAGCTGGGGTCGGTTCTGAAAGCTGGGGTTGATTCTAAAAGCTGGGATTGGTTCTGAAAGTTGGGGTTGATTCTAAAAGCTGGGGTTGGTTCTGAAAGCTGGGGTTGATTCTAAAAGCTGGGGTTGATTCTAAAAGCTGGGGTTGGTTCTGAAAGCTGGGGTTGGTTCTGAAAGCTGGGGTTGATTCTGAAAGCTGGGGTTGGTTCTGAAAGCTGGGGTTGATTCTAAAAGCTAGGGTTGATTCTAAAAGCTGGGGTTGGTTCTGAAAGCTGGGGTTGGCTCTGAAAGCTGGGGTTGTTTCTGAAAGCTGGGATCGGTTCTGAAAGCTGGGGTTGTTTCTGAAAGCTCAGGTTGGGTCTGAAAGCTGGGGTTGGGTCTGAAAGCTGGGATCGGTTCTGAAAGCTGGGATCGGTTCTGAAAGCTGGGGTTGGTTCTGAAAGCTGGGGTTGTTCTGAAAGCTGGGGTTGGTTCTGAAAGTTGGGGTTGTTCTGAAAGCTCGGGTTGGTTCTCAAACATCATGTATTGTATTCTCAACTAACTTTTATATATATATATATATATTCCTATCTGTTTATTTTCATGTTAAGAGGAGAACATTTTATTATAGTCTATTGGAAAGGCAATTCAGTGTTAAGCGACTTGAGCGAATCTTTATCTGAGCTGTGTTATGATTGACTGCTGCTCGTTTGTTAATCTTTGCTAAGAGATACATTAACAATAATCATTATTGCCTTGTTAACCAACAGCAACTAGCAAGCTTATATGTGTTGTTGTCACATCTTTAGATTTGTCTCTCTTTTATTGTTGAATTGTTTATGTCTCTTTAATTGTTGTCTTGCTGTCTCATTGTATGCTCAAGGAGGAAACTATATTCAGATACTAACGTAGAGATGGGAAATGAATTTATATATATATAGATATGGGTTGGTATGGCACAACAAACTTTCTCCCCCATCTTTAACAGCAAGGTTTACGAAGGTATCAGCACTTGGTTAGCTATTATGGGTGCCTGCATTTTAACTTCTAGATGATTCTTAGAATATTCTGGTAATTGTCTGGGAAGGATAGATAGTTAAAAATGACATTAGCCATTTGATCTCATTGTGCAGTGGCTTATAGTAACTGAGACCCAAACACTTCATAAACATGGCAACATGTATAGCACAGTGTTTACATTATAGAGTTTGGAGGAATTTAAATGAGAAAGCATTCTTCAGTTTTTGCTCAGGTTGGCTTGTCGCAGAGGTTCTTTAGTAAAATTTCTTAGTCCAGCCAATGAAATGTGTCCGACATAACTGTTTCACATACTGTGCCATATGTCTATTAGTTCACATGTTCTAGATTTGATTCGATCTAGGTTCTCTGGGCATAGACGTTAGGAAGAGTTTTTTTTTAATTTTAAAGAAGATATTTAGTTTTACTGTGTGTAGTATGTCACTAAATAGTGGACAAAAACATTATTTATGTTGTTATGAATGTATAAATGGCTGTTGGCTTCTGTTATGTTGCTGCAGCTTGCTTCTTTATGTTTACATTCTTGCCTTCATTAAGTGCACAGAACTGTCATTTACTGTATGCACATTTGGCTGTTACTTGTATTAGGCATTTCATTATCTTTGAAATGAGTAGTCTCTAGTAAAATAGTGAAAAATATATTCCCTGTCTGAGTTCTGAGACTCCATCTTGGGGATGGGGAATAGAGCTACTGCATCCCCCGCACCTCCCCAGCAAACATGCTGTAACAAGTTACTAATTAGCTGTGTGTCCTTCCTAGTCGGAGTGTATCTGCTTAAGTGGCAAGAAACCAGAAATCTGCATACAAATACACCAGATATGTAAGGCTTATGTGCACAAAAAACTAAAGTTCTTGGACAAGACTAACATCCAGAAAATGGATTAACAATCATAAATTTCTGCCAGAATTTACAATGGTGAATAATAGAAGCAGAAGAAGAAGAAGAAGAAGAAGAATGTTAATTATTATTCAGAATAATGATATAATATATATGAGAAAGAGTAAGGAGCAAATTATAAATTATTTATTCACGTAAATCAGTTCTAACCCCCCCCCCCTCACCCCCAGTAAAATAAGTTAAACAGTAGGCAGTAAACAGTGAGATAGGCTGAGTTGTAACTGTTGTGTAACAGAGATCAGGAACCAATCAGTAATAGATGTTGGAAGTGGAGTGTTATTCATATGTTGAAACATGTTTCTAGCACTTATAATTCTTCATGTTTTCTAAGTGTTTCTATTTAAACAATTGCACAATGAATTTCAAAAAAATTGTAGATTTCAGTTCTTTAAAACAATTCCTTATCTTTAACACTTTCCATGATAATTTTATATGCATAATTAATCCCACGAGAAATCTGTGCAAACTTTGCTAATATTTACAATTTTTTATTTTTTTCAGCTTACATGTAAATTTTCATTAATTTGTTTTGTGCCTGTCTACAAGTACAGTTGCAGTTTTGTCCTATTTTTTCACATTCATGGAGCACAGATTATGTTGCAGTCCTAGACAATTTCAGGAAATTTGCCGAATCTGCTCTATACTGAGTTCAAACATACCTTTGGAATTATGCAGCACGGGACATTAAAGTAATTCGGATTTAGAATGTGGAAGACTGCACAGGGATTACAAACAGAAAAGGAAAAAAATCATAACAGGACAAACAGTACTGGTCGTCATTCAAAAAAAAAAGGATACCAGAGTTAATGGCTTCAAGGGTTCTTTGGCAATTAATATAATTACATTTCGTAATGAATGATGGGAAATTTAAATACAAGTATAAAAAGTTTCAAAAAAAAAAATGATGCAGGATATAAAAGCTCTCTGGATATAGAGTAAAAACTTAGGGGTTGTTCCCAAAGAATCTGACCAGATATTCTGTTGCAATAGGCATTAAATTAACTACTCCCTTGGCTTTTAAATACAGCAAGCAGGAGAACCAACAGAGAGTCAAGAATCATTTCCCAGCATTTTTCATACTGCATCGATTTAGGACAAGGAAAGCGTTTCAACACCAGTGAAAATAACAGAAACATAGAATGCAGGAAAAAAACTACACAATTGATCCTTGGTGGCTTGACTCGTAACTATAAGAACAAGAAAATATAAAAATATCAACATGGCAGTTGATGGAAATGATGTTTTTGGAAACTCCTGACTCACGACCTAGAAATCTGAGGCCCATCAAAATACAACTCCAGACTTTCAAGTGTGAACAAGAATGAGTCACTCTCTTTGTCAGTCACTACCACTATTTTTGTTTTCTTGGAGAATATTCTAGTAAATATTAATTTAAAGTCTGTGATTTTCTTTTTCAAGCACTGACCTTTATGTACAGCTTTTTCTTGCTATTTCATGTCAGAAATATACCTTTCTTGTTTATTTATCTTTAGAATCTATATTTCCTTGTCAAATGCTATGAAATTAATTGTCTGATCTGTCGTATAAAGTGATTTTAGCTGATTATCTGACCTAATTGTAAAATACTCTCTTATCGGTTATATCTAATCAACTTTTCAGTGTCATATATGACACATTTGACTTACTTTACTGTTGTATGTGGTGGCATGGTATTTCCTGTCAATACTTAGATACATTGTAGAGTCATTCTTCTTCTCTGAATTTTGGAGTTAAGTCAGTTTTCTTTCCTGTAAATTCATTTCTGACCAGTCAGAATTTTAAATTTGATTTCTTGATACATCAGGAGTGAAGTCTTGATCTTCATGGGATGATGAGTTTATATCTCTTAACTGTGTTTCTTTCTCTTGCCT